CAGCGCCATCTTAGCGGTGACAGCAGCAGCCTGTGTGGTGCACAGGAGGCGGAGGGTGGCCGAGCCCCACAGTCACCCTGCTCTCTGCCGCAGTGGACGTGGCCTTTCCCGGGATAGGCCTGACGCCCAGAGCCTCGCTGCCCAGCCTGCCCCTGTGCCTGGCTGGGTACAGCAGTGGCCGCAGGGGTGGCTGTGGCACGGCCCGGATCCCAGGTGCTTGCAAAATCAGTCCCGAACCTCTCATCTACGCCTGCGGTTGTTGCTGACCTGCAGCTCGTGTCAAGGAGGTGTCTTCCCATCCTGTCACTACCAGGCCCGAGGGTCCTCTCTCCACAAAACCCGAGAGAAGACTCTGAGACAGTTAGAGCTGCACTTCCCCTCACCCGTGTTCCTCTGCCATTGTGCCAGCTGTGAGGCAGGAGCCCCAAAGGCTGACCCGTTGACCATTCAGGGGAGTCTAGTGCAAATACTCTTGAGAGGTTTTCTTGGCAGAACTCCCGACTTTGAATGGGATTCTCACACTTGAGTTCCAAAAAACAAGTGTATTTTTTATATATATGCTCTGCTACAGCCCTCAAATAGTGACTGAAAATCTTATCTATCAATGTCCTGGGACCAAAGTGTATGGAAACTGAAGCAGAGGGTTCATGAGCTGAGTTTCATCAAATGACCCACAGAATGAAGTAAGAAAGGGGGTAGGGATGACTGTTTCTCGAATAGCATTAATATTTATACCTGTTCTTGAGTTTGGGAGCGCTTCCAATGCTGGGAAATATTTCTATTCATGCAGTCAGTTGCATTTGGCTCGAAGCCAAGATATGAATAAGGTGCATAAATCCATACTGGGATTTGTGTCTATGCTGTTGTCTTTCTCTATGCTTTTATATTATATAAGTAAGGCCATCCAAGGATAGCTGAGACTTCATTTTCTCTGCTAAATATGTTGCACTGCATTAAAACCTCTTTCTCTGCTTGTAAGTAACAGAGAACTAAACACGAAGGAGGAGAAAATGGTTCTAACTGTATGAAAGCGTAAGCAAGAGGTCTGCACAAGACTAGAGACAAGTTCACGTTGCTTTAGTTTACCTGGAGACTGCGTGATTTTCAGGAGAAAGCTAAGAAATATCTAAAGCAATGGTTTTTTTTTGTTTCCCCTCTTCCTCTCCATGTCCAAGTCAGCATTCTTCTTCTTCCTGAGGCTACTCCAGCTCAGGAGGCACTCCCAGAGCTGGAGTCTCTATGTCCTACTAAAGCCAGATAATGCCTCGACCACCTCAGACTGAGAAAATGAAAACTCTGTGATCAAAAGGGACTAGTTAAGGGTTCCCTTTTCATTTATTCAAATAAAAAGAATGTTGTAGAATTCTAGTTTTCTGCAATTTCACTTACATGAAATTACATGGGAAACCCAGTGATAAATTACAAGTCCTTGCTTTTACTACTTAATTATATTCTCTTTGCATGCAGTTCCCTTTTTCTGATCAAAAGACTGGTCCATATGTAAGAGAAAGCTTAGAAGAGATCCCAGCACAGTCAGAAATCCAAGGCACGAATAGAATGGCAGAGCCCCATCCCAGCTGATGAACAGTGTAAGTAACAAAGACAGAAAGGCTGGTTCAGATGTATCAATCGGTGTTTCACATCAGGGTTTCAGATCACTTCAATTTGCCAGCACAAAGATACTGGCATGACAAAATCTAAAACCATGTGAAAGTCACTTTGCTTTCAGGTATCGTTACCGAGTAACTTCATTCAGTAACTTCATTCTTTTTCACCAAATCTGCACACATTTCTGACTGCAGCTTGTAGATGGAAACAGTGAGAAATACTTGGAATCAAATAAATCCTTGATGGAAGTTACTTGAAATTTACGGGCTTGCATCACTGGTAGAAATGAGGATGTAACACCATCATGGAGGAATATGAGCTTTCATTTTAGTTTGTTTTTCACTATATGAAGATGGAATATTTTAGCTGTGATTGAAGTTTTGCTATGATTTGGTTTTGGCTAAATCTTAAAAAAAAAAAAAAAAAAAAGATTTTTCAATCAAGAATAAAAACCAGGTGAGTTTTCACTTTGTTACTGCAGCCACATCTGTTTGATGTTTGCAGGGTACCAGCTGTCACAGGCCACTAAGTCGCTGATTTGAGTAAAAGAAGATAAAATTATTTTTGTGGAAACTGGATTTTGGAATTTAGTATCACTGGAAGGCATGTGGCTTACCTAGCTATCACAGGAATCCATGACCCCCTTCTCCCTGTGCCACAGGAACTCATTGTTTCAGTTGTTGTCCCTCAAGGGAATGATAGACCAAATTCATTGCTGCCTTAAGAACCGCAGACTCATTTTGGCAGACTGGCATGAAAGATGAATATGGATTACTGACCTCCAGTTGCTGTGGATAGCTGTGAAAGGAATGATTGATTATCTGCTGCAAATAGCAGCAGGAGAAAGACTGCAGGTCACTCTTTAGCTAAGTGGTATAATTTAGTTCTTAAAACAAAGGCAAGCCAGATACGCGCAGGTTTTCACATGTCTTTAGTTAGCCAAAAGGTGCATTTGAAACTATGAGATGTGGATTGTCAAACAGGATTGTCACACAGACCATAGCTGCTGTTGATCCGTGCTATAATGTTGATACACTATGCTTTTGAATTATGTCACTTTTCTGTAAACTAAATGTGATCATAGCTTGATTTGGATGGCAGTCAGCCCAGCAGTTTGTCACCGTGTCTTTAGGATTATTTGCCAGTAGCAAACCAGCTGTCAGATAGAATTTGTGTTGTTCCTAAATAAAACATTTTACATCTGAGAAGTTCAAAGGCACTTTTTCAAATTATTTCACACAGAGTTCTATTCCCCACCATCTCCTCCCCTGAGCAAATATGGTTTCAGCATTGGCACTAATGCATGCCCTAGTTAGCTGGGATGTAAAAGAAGAGATCTGTTGTTTTAAAATGTATTTTTTTACCCATGAGCTATTACTTGCACTCTTTGTTTCCTAAAATCCTCCATGTACTCATTGCTGGCAGATTTTGTATTTCAAGTGAGTAGCTAATACTTGACTTGAAAAGAAAGGATGAAATAAAATAGACTTACAACTACAGCAAAGGAGATAGGAGGAGAGTGCTGGACACCAATTCTTAGCAAAGCATCCCTCCCTGGGAAGCAGCTGTAATTTAGCCACTTGTAGATAAGTAGTTGGTCTCCATGCAGCTTGCCTTTGCCTTGACAGTGCACTGTTGGGGTCACTTTACCGTGCAGTTGACAGATTCCTTCCATTATTTTTATATAAACTTTTAATTTAAATTCTAAACAAACCTGCAAGTAGCAGAAGACAACTGGTGTTTGATTATTCAGATTAGTGAGCTTCTGGGTCAGTCGTCTAAAAATCCAAAGGAATGCATATTTGTTTCCCGAAAGAAAAACTTGTTATTACATTTCATAGTCTAAGGGACTATTTGTTTTAATTAACAATGAAAAAAGTTTGCATCCTCATCATGCAGTAACTCATTAACTGCTCAAGCCTCCTTTGCAAGTTTGGATACAATGGGATATTTAATGTGTTTGATCTGCATGTTGATAACAGGGGTTTGCATGTAGATCAAAAGAACGATACAACCCCGCATTACCAGAACTCAGCCACAGCATCCAGCAAATGCTATGTAGAAGGCAACGCTTGGCTTCCCTCCAAAGCCCGAATTCTAACACTCAGCTCAAAAGCAACCTACCACTTTTCCCATTGATATGTTTGTGCCTACAGACCTATCTTTGACCTCTCCCAGCTTGTTTTGTTGCAGTGAACACCTGAAATTTGCTCAGCTAATACAATAGCCCTGTACTTTTTGACAAAAATGCCTGTGGTTAACCTCTGTGGGCTGCATTCTGCAATAAAATGAAGGGTGGTAGAAGTTAAACAATGGGTGTGACTACCACAAGAGGAGTGTTAGTGGGAAAGTGGTGTAACATCCACTTAACATTCCAGAGATGTGAAATATAATTATGATTTAAATGCCAAAGATGTAAGTTGCAAGATGAGTAACTACAAGGACATGAAAGCCTCCCTTATCTTCCTTTCTGTCCCACTCAGAATCATTTTGCACACCCACAAAACTAATACAAGTAGTGTCACTTGACGAAATTACACCTAATACATGACTTGTACTGTCACTTACATTCCTGTCGGTGTGGGCTCTGTTTATACCAAAGAAAAAACCTGCAATCTCATTTACAGCATTTTAAGTTGGAAGTAATTTTGCTCTTGGTGGAATTATCCCGTATTTAGACTCCCACTCGGAACCTGAGCCAGGCTTTGAGTTTTGTCCTATCTGCTCCCATCCTTTCCCATGATAGGTGGGGTCTTCTGGCTGTGAAGAGCTCCTCACACACTCATTTATGTATCTTTGCAGAAATAGTCTATGAGCAGGTCTGTAACATTAGAAGTTGTTGACTAAATGAGCCATGTATATGAAAAGCTGCTTAATGTCTTTTACATCATCTAGCATATGTGGGAAGGAGAGCAATAATGCAGAAATGCAGCCCATGCCTAGATGAGGGGCTACACAGTTCTTTATCAATTCCAACACTGAGAAAGTGAAGAAAAAGTAAGTTCTAGGTGGGGGAGCAGAAGCAACTAGTAGGGAAAAAACCTGTTGATTCTAAACCTTTAAACAGTATCTTTATAAACAGGTTCTTGGTATGGTTAAAACCCCAAAGCGATAGGTATGATTACAGCTCTGAGCAAAGGGCATGCACTGTTCCACGTTGTGGCCTCGGAAATTGTCTGATGTGTAGATCAGAATTTAAACCTGTATTTTAAACTTTTTTTTCTCCTGACACTATTCCTCTTATTTTCTTTATGGATTATATGAAAACCTGAGTTGAAAGTTTCTAGTGCAGTTCTGCCTTTTATTAGCTGTCAGTGGGGAATAAAGAGTATTACCAGCTCTACCAGAAAGTGACACCTTCAAATAAAAGCAGGGGGGTGAGGCGAGGAGGGGCTGTAGGTTAAGGACATGATGTGGGACTCGGCTTATTCTAGGTCAGCCCTTGTAATTGAACTGTTTATTTTCTGTACAAAATATGCACTTGGCAGAGGGAAGCGGTGGTTTTTCAGATACACATACACACGTAGCTTCGTGTATGACTAATGCTATTGCCTGAAATGGAGCTGCAAAGTGGATAAAGTGAAGCATTTACTCCAAAGTGCTTGACGAGCTGGGACTATCAAGCTATTATATTGTGCATATTTGTTTCCTAGAAATACCATAAACATTTACTAGAAATACTGGGCAGGAAGACTGATTTTTATATCTAGGGGGAAAAGATATGATTGCTTAAACGTTTTAAAGTACAAATAGCAAAACAAAAATGTTCTCTCAAGAATCAGAGAAAAACAGTTTTATGTCTATACTTAAGATCCCTAACAGAGTTCATGAAGCAACAAAAAGTCCTTAGATCATAGCAACAGTTAAGACAAAAAATGCTTGGATTTAATACACTGGGGACTTTTTTAGTAAAAAGAACTATGGGCCAAGTCATGCCTTCAGTTAGCATCTGTAATTCTGACTTTGGTGAGGAAAAGACGGTGTGAGTGGCTGAAGCCACAGAAGGACCATTTTGAAATACTAGTGGAGGTCAACTGCTGTAGTGGAGGCGGCCACTTGAGAACTACATGGCTTGAGAAGACTTTGGTTCAAAACCCTGTTCTACTACCAACACCACAGATGAGTGACAGCCACACTGCCAGGCTTTGGGTGCGTGCATTGGGAAGTGGCTTTTCCTCTATGATCAAGGGAGGAGAGAGTGCTCCCTCCAGAGGGCTGTTCCGGCCGTCTGGATTACCCTGCTCCAAACTGTCCTCTTGAGGCGCTACTCCCAGCGCACAGGTCTGATTTCAGGGTTGATTCAGGCACAGTAACTAGAGCTCCAGGTTGGCAAATGGATCCTGAGTCAGTCAGGTAATGTCCTGTCCCTGATACTTGTTCCTCACTGCGTCCATATACTTACTGTGTAGTGCTGCTGCATCTTCTGGGCAGGAAGGTACCTTTGACAGCTGTGCTGTCCTTAAAGCAGAAGTCATTGTTTCTGCAGTGGATTTCTTTCAGGGATAGTTGTGGTCTGGCATGAAACAGTGTCACCACTTAAATGATAGAATACTCATTTACAGAGAATAAGAATAGAATAGGATTTCATTCTTGATTTCTGACAAAGATTCCTACTACACCTGGAGGCTGATTTAGTGGGCTGAGCAGGTACACAGCTCTCTGAAAATCAAGACATTCAGAACTTTCCTAAATCCATGGTTAGTCTGCCTCTCCTGCAGTGCTTAGATAAAATAGCTTTCATCACTTTTTCATCACATCAAACTCCAGCTGAATCATTACTATGTACTGTAGTGGTACCACAAATAAGCTTCTCAGCCTCTGAAACCTATACAGGTTTTCAGCAATACCGTGGTGGTTTTATCATGTATTTTATTCACAGACTCCAAGATACTTTGTGAAGATAGGGTCAGCACTGGTACAACAGTTTCACAGGAAGGGGGATGCTCAGAGTTTCGGTGACTCACCCCATGTCTGTTGCAAAATAGCAGTGAAGCACACAACCTGGGCATTCTTGTACCAGGCTTGTGATTCAGCAAAGCACTAAAGCAAGTGCTTAACTTTGAGCAAGAACTTTGAGCTGTCTGAATGGAGACAGGTTTGAGTGTCAGTTTAAATACTTTGCTAAACTGGTCTTCAGCTTTCAACAGCTAATTACTGTTTACAGCTATTTCAGATTTTTTGTATACTCAGTGTATCTTTAGATGGTGGAAAAATCTTTAATTCAATTGTGTGAAAAAGCATACTGCTTGCTGGCCTTTAGCAACTCAAATGTTCATGCATATGTTTGGGGTTTTATGTTGCTGTTTTAGATGACCCCAGTTACTCGACAAGAAGTTCTTGGCCTTTACCGCAAGATATTCCGAATAGCCAAAAAATGGCAATCAGCATCAGGACAGATAGAAGAAACTATTAAGGAAAAAGAGTACATTATCAATGAAGCCCAAACATTATTCCGAAAAAACAAAAATGTGAGTGTCCTTACAGTTTTGATTTTCTGAATGGTTGTGCTCTTGCTCTTTGCCCTGTCACAATGATTAGGTGCTAAGAAATAAGAGTTGATTTCCCAACATTTCATTTACCTTAAATGCTGGTGTATTTTGGTTATAGATTAAATCCCACAATTGAAATAGTAGTAAGAAAACTCAAACCATTTCAGCTCTTCATTAACTACTGTAGAAGTCTAAAAAGTCTAGAGCTTTCACTAAAAAATACTAAGAAAAAATTAAATTCTAAAGATACTGCCTATGTAATTGAAGCAGTTTGTGATCTTTTAGAAAGTTAGCTAAATGTATTATTATCCCTGCAATGGCAAACAGAGCTCAGTAGCTTCTTATATTTCTTTTCTTAAAGCAGCAAATATTGGCAATTCTTTTAAAAGAAGCACTTTTTTTTCTTAAGGAAGAAATTTCAACCCCCTTTTGAAAGGGACAAATAGACTGCATGGTAATCGAAGGTCCTTCTTGTAATCTAGATCACAATGCTTACTTATATCCCATTTTGGTCTGGGACTAAATTGAAGTAATGCAAAATCAAAAAATGAATTTTAGTCACAATTTACACCACATTTCTGACTTCAGAGGGGGTTTCTGGATAGGATGATAACAGAATGTAGACCAAGGAGTCTCTTCTCTTTCTTCTCTAGCTACCTTGCAGAGTGATGAATGGGTGAGTGTGTTTTTTCATAGATACATTAGTAGTTTACATGTGTATTGTGTTTTTTACAAAGAAAATACCATGTTTGGGTAAAACCCTCCTTCTGTAGCCTCAGTCCAGATAGCCTCCAGGCCTTAATATCCAGCACCATCAAGACCAGAACTACTGAGTCAAGGCAAATGTTACCTTTTATGGATATGAAAAATACAATCATTGTATGCTTGCGATTGCCAAAAAAAGCTAAAGAAAGTCATGTGGCTGTGCATCATTTACACGTGAGCTTTCAACTGCTAACTGCTGTACTCATACAAAACATTTGTTTCTATGATCTCAGGTAACAGATCCAAAGTTGATTAAGCAGTGTATAGAAGAATGTGAGGCAAGAATAGAAATCGGACTTCACTATAACATCCCCTACCCAAGGCCTGTGAGTATAAATCTAAATCACAAAGTCTTCAGCTACACCCTCTTGGCTCTCACTGGGCAATAATCACATCACAGTCCACATCACTGTTTCTGCAGCACATTTTTAGATGAGCCGGTATTTAAATGCTATGCTAAATCAGAGCCAAATAAGCCAAATGTATATTGAAATGTTTTCCATCTATCTCATTTCATTGTAAATTGGCTAATTTCTTCTCAAATTAATAAGTCAAAGCCTAAATGGAGTTACATGAGATCAACTCCCAAGGCCTTTAAAGATTTAGGCAGTCTTATCCAACCAATGTCCAACCAGAAGAAGACATTAATGAAATCGAACCTGTTAATCTTTCCACATAATGAAAGAGAATGAGGGAATAAAAATACTTAACTACATCTGCCATAGATAAAATTATTTTCATAGCCTACATTACTGGTAGCTGTTCTCCTGGTCATAAATCAGGTCTTATGAAATACCTGGCTATGTTGCTTCTTTTCCCCTGTACCTGGAGAAAAACATGTCCAAGATGACTGAAATCTGGAAGTTGCAGCAATGTCTTCTATTGCACCATTCAGTATAGTTTCCTCACTGCTGAGTCACTTCTGTCTGTAGTACTTTATGCTGCCTCTCATAGAAACTTCCTTTCAACTCCTGTTGATTAGTTTGTATTTTCACATCTGTAGTTTCCTTAGAAAGGCAGTCAAAATTAAATTGTATTTCCATCAGATGCTTGCCTAGAATATGGTCACTGTTAGCATCTGCTTCACATACAGCTTTTTCTTTTTCTCCAGTATAGATAATAACAATGCATATCTGACAAACAATGCTCCTATAAATAGGCTTAAAATGCATGCTCTGCAGTGGCTTCAGAATCCCAGAGGATCGGTCTTAGATCCACTGTCTCAGACAAACTGGATGATCGTTTTCAGATTCTGGAAATCTCTATTGCTGCTTTAGTCAGTGCTTTTACTACTACTTGCACCTAAACAGCTATCTATCTTACAGGATGACAGCCTCAGCAACAATAACATCTGACTGCTAACACCTACATTTTTCAATCACTTGGAGGGGGGAATATAGTTGAATGACTCCCACTATTATGAAATACAAAGACTTTGACAATCAAAGGAAGAACCTGTCACCTATTGCTCCTTCTGCTTGTGGAGTCAATGACATTGTGCATTTTAATATGGTATACGTAATCATAACAGTAAGAAGACAGTCTTTCAATACATACAGTTTTGTGACTTGTTAGGTAGGTATGAGTAGAGTGCACTGCTACTCAGGAATTTTTAGAGTTTTCTATGACTTACTTTTCTGGAACATTGTCAGCAGTCCTATTTCGACAAGTACTTCATCATTACAGTCTGACACCAAGCTCCAAAACAAGGTTACTAAAGCTTAATATATATATATGATTTTAATAAACACAAGATTTAGGGCCTGAAAGTTACACCACTAATCACACCTCAGAGAGTGCTCCTCCTAGAAATCTAATAAGCTGGTTTAAGATGGTACAGTTGCCCTCTCCAAAGTGTGAAGAAATTATTTCAAACTCAGTGAAACCTAGTCTGTATATATACCTTCTTTTTCTTGTAGGTTCTCAATTTGCACTTAACTGGTGGGATTTTCTTTTCCAGATCCACCTACCTCCTATGGGTCTTGCCCATAAACAAGGCCGTATGTTGCGACACCAGGAAAAGTTAAGGAAGATTTCTAAGCCAATATACCTGAAATCCCATGATGAAGTCTCATAACCTATTATTTAAGATGTGATGTGTAATCACATCATTTAAACTGTGGACTGCAATCCAGATGATTTGTGTGCACAACTGTGAATGAAGCTGTTCGGTCACTTGCTCACACATTTCTGGAGGCCAAAAAGCTATGATACACTGTATATGATGGAAAATGTTGGTCTAGTATTTATTACATTTCAACCACTGACTTGTCAATTAAAGTAACACTTTTCAAGGAGTGAGGTGTGATACGAGATTACTTTGACATCAGGAAAATTACAGCAGGTTTTTAAACTCTGTTCATTTATATTGGGGTTCCCTGGTGGTTTGAGAATTATATATGCTCAATTCAAGGCAGTGCCTTGTCTAAGGGTCAGCAAAAATCAAGAAGGTCTGGGAGAATCAAGCAGACACTGCACCTCCAGAGCTTCCAAACACAGGTGGGAATACAGTGACTGCTTCATGCAGCTGCACTCCTTCCTCTTTTGTCCCTGCTCTGCCTATTGTCCCTGAAGAATCATTTCAGTTTCATAGTATTCTTAAAGTGAAGTATTGTTTCTAAAGGGACAGTAGCAAAGAGACATCAGAAATGCCACAAGTCCTCCCTTTTCTTTTTTGCAAACTGCAGGGGAGTGGCCTAGAGCCTCTACATCAGCTTTTTTTATGGTTCCCCCCCGCTTCCTTTGGACAGGGTGTGGATGTGAAATGCAAAGTTTGGAATGCCATTACACAACTCAGAGTAAAACATTCCAGTATTGGGTTCCTCAGGTTCCCATGTATGGACTGACTGAAAAGTCTCTCTTCAGGGTATCACTATGGAAGCCAGCTTAAGATGCTATGCATATCTTCACTGTGCATTTTTACATGCTACAAACTGTCTCTTCTGTCTCTTAAGTTTGAGGGGTATTTCTGCTTCGCAGTTGCCTCGTGAATGGAAGTGAAATTAAATTAATCGCCCCAGAAATTAAATTAACTGGCCACTAAATGTTTTGGCTCCTTTTCAGTGCTCTGGCTTTACCAGGCTGTTCACAAATTCTCATCAGGAAGGTAAGGCTAAAAGTACCGATGAGACCAAGCTATGGACAAGAGCCACACTCTACTGGGATACTACATAAGCACAGGCCTCAGCTGTGTTAAAGGGCAGAGGGTGTGAGCAGCAACCTATTCCAGCCAGAAGGTAAGGGTGGCAAAAAAGCAGATTTGAAAAATGCAGTGTACATTATTTCCTATTGAAAATGGGCGAAACCAATGAAGTATCATTTTCTGAGCTCTCCAACTCCTCCTAAACTCTCCAAGCCCTAATAGAAAATGGCAAAGAAATATTCCTACCTTAAAAATAAGTTAAAACTGGTCATGTGCAGGACATAATGACAGTTCCTCCCCCAAGAATGTACTTTTCAGTGGAAAAAAAAACCAAGCGGATGAGAAAGTACAAGGAAACAATGAGAAGAGCGAGTCAGCATGACAGGTACTGGCTAGCCCAATTTCTCACTACCCTTTATGGCTCCAGTCCACAAAGGTATCTATTCCAATATAATTATTTCCTGGGAATACCTCCTGTGGGAAGTATCATGTAAAATGCCATTGTTCTGCCTGTCACTGGGAGCTTTGCAAATTTACTGCTGCCAGAAAGACACAAAACAAAGCTCCTTTAGCTGAGGAAAAGTGGGATGGAACAAAGACAGTAAAAAATAACGTGATTATACACATTGCTTAATCCTTCATTGAAACAAGTCCAAATACAGTCTTTTCCTATCCTCACAGAGATGTGTCAAGTGAGCCAAAGAAAAATGTGCAGAGACAAGGGTTTTGAATGGAAGCTTAAGCTCATTTATCATTAAGCTATCATTCTGAATCTTTCAAATTATTAAAAATCACATGGCTAATGAAGGTACTGTGACTTATCAGGTGAATAAACAGCTATGTAAATGAGCACTGTAAATTTACTGTCTATTTTATAGCCACAACTCTTTCCTGAGCATATACCATAAGATGTAGATTAATTTCAAGAGAACATCCCTAAAGTTACAGAAGAGTCACACTGAACTGAAAATAATGAGTTTATTCCTGAAGGGAAAGAAAAATAAGCAATTTTAAAAAGTCTCAAGTAGCCTTAAGTAGCTCAAATGAGTATCCACTTCCTTGACTGAAAAGCCAATAAGTTGAACTGCAGTAACAGGATGCTACGAGGATGATAAGAGGACTGGAGCACCTCCCGTGTGAGACAGGCTGAGAAAGTTGGGGCTGTTCGGCCTGGAGAAGAGAAGCTGCGTGGAGACCTCATAGCAGCCTTCCAGCATTTGAAGGGGGCCTACAAGGATGCTGGGGAGGGACTCTTCATTAGGGACTGTAGTGGTAGGACAAGGGGTAATAGCTTCAGACTTAAACAGGGGAAGTTTAGATTAGATATAAGGAAGAAGTTCTTCACAGTGAGGGTGGTGAGGCACTGGAATAGGTTGCCCAAGGAAGTTGTGAATGCTCCAACTCTGGTGGTGTTCAAGGCCAGGTTGGACAGAGCCTTGGGCGACATAGTTTAGTGTGTGGTGTCCCTGCTCATGGCAGGGGGGTTGGAACTAGATGATCTTAAGGTCCTTTCCAACCCTAACTATTCTATGATTCTATGATTCTATAACAGCATCACATTATTTGAGATGCTTTCAAATTCTAGATAGCCTATTTTTCAAAATAAGCATTTGAGAAATTATTAAGTAGTGCAGGATCTTCATTATGCTCCAGCACCACAAGGCAAAGACTGAAATTTCTTAAAACCTCAAGTCTGTTCAGCTAAAGGAAGGATTAGATCAGCTCTTTTGTCAAGTCTGGAGAGCAAAGCCCTTTTTTTCACAGTTTAAGTTAAACTCTGTACAGCAAAGAAAATCTGCCTTAAAGAGAGTGCTTTGGTTTTAGAGGTCAAACTGGCAAACTTCCATTTTGAGGGAGCTTCATAAAAAGAATTTCATCTGCAGCTGAGTCCAGTGGGTAGGCAGATGTCTGAACTGGTACTCACTGTATTCATTTCCAAAGACCGTGTAACTGCTTTCAAGAAGTATCCCATCAATGGTGCAATATATCATTCCTACACATTAATTTTACTTGCAAAAAGATGTTGTCCAAAAATGCCTCTGAGTTCTTGAGAGTTTGTAATGCACTGGATTCAACCAGTCAGTGTACACTCTGTCCTGTACTTCCTTAACTTTGTCCCACTTTCCTTCCAGAAAATACAGTCTCTTTCCAGTTTATCACACTCGTCAGGAGATGCTTTAGAATAAGTTAGAGTAAGAAGATGGCAGTAACTTTATATTCTTTAGAAATACAAATCCTGGGTCAGTTGCATAAACTCTCCTGCAAGCTAACCGGTAGCAACACAGTAGTAATTTGTTAACATGCTATCTGGCTTTGAATATCTAAATAACACCTCCTTCTGGATATTCTGTCCCTAACTCCTAATTTATGAACCCATATGCTTATGAAACCAAATTAACACTAAGATTAGCAAGCACATAGTCATTTAAGAAGATGGTGTTGATACCTGCTTATTGAATGTACCCCCTCAATGTTACCTAAGGGTGAGGAAACCCTCATGAAGTTGCAGCAGTGACTCGATCTGTTCCAAGGGAAGTATCATCAAACTGAAAGAGGTTAAAAGGGATTAGATTATCTGATCTATCTTCCCATAAATACAAGTCTGTTCTTGTAATACTTTTTAGATCTAGAGAAAATAAGGCAACGTGGACCTCACTCCCTTGGGGCCCTACAATGTATCCATCAGAAATTATATCCATCTTCTAGCCACAGACAGAAAGATCACTTATTTGATCATACCTATAAATTAATTTTCAAGAATACTAGTTACAGGAGAGACCCACACTTCTCACTGATTTTTCTAATCCTATTAGGCAAAACATTCTAGCTTGTAAGAACTCCTAACTAGAAGAACCCTTTGTATTGTCTTTTGCTTTTTCATTGTATAATTTCCCTTTAACAGCCCAATGGTGCTAAAATCAACAGAGATAGTACTCTCTGTTCCTGAAATGGATTTTTGTACAGATGAGATAAGAGAAAGGAAATGTACTAACCCTGTCTTACTGCATCTCTAGCTGAAAATCCCTCTCTGCCCTGAAGAAGAAACATCTTTTGCTCTGTAATGTTTGTATACTCCAATTTTTCCATCTGCTTTGAGTTATTAGCAAGGCTGTAAATCTATGATTTGCTGTAATTGCAGGTGGTTTTTTGTGGTTTGTTTAATGAGAGCTTCTGATTAAGAAATGGAAATACTAAACCTGTAAAGCCAAGAATTCTAATATTATTACAAGATACTGTATTTGCCAAAAAAAATTCCACATTTTTATCATGTTTAACTAACAGCTGAGTTGCATTTTATTTATTTTATTTTAAATGCATCTCAGCCAAGTAATCTTGTGAATTCCAATGTTTAGCCAGCTTATCATTCTTCAGGAACGTCTAGACAGTGCTCAGGAAATAAGGTCAGGAAGCTCATTTCAAAGAACCACAGAAAAATACCTCCAAGACAGATATCCCTCAACAGTAAATTCAATTACTTTTTCTCTAACAGTAAGGGCAGCTCAAGAAATCACATGCTTCAATGACCATCAACTAAAGGAACTCAGCCATGCCTGATCCCTGGTGAAAGGGCAAGCAAGAGATTCATGAAGGTACAGACTTCTATCTGTATCTATTGGTCACACCTACAAAAGCTTGAAATACATCATTAATTACATTCTAAGAGATGCCTTCATCTCAAATCTGACATTAACACAGAAGAGACATTTAGAAAATCAACACAGTTACAAGGACACTGCCCACAATGTAGTAGCAAAGCCTCTATATATTCTCAGAACTATGTTATTTAATAAACTATCCATTAGTTTTGTTCACAGAGAGGTATTAACAAGAAACCCACATGGCAAGCTATCCTACAGTATTTTCCAACAGTTTAAAAGTAATTTATCTCCATGAAATGTAATATAGGCAGCATTTACTAGTGAATCTAGCTTTTAACTTAAAAGGGCTTAATTTAGAGGACTGTGCTTGCAAGACTAGCATTTTCTGAAGAAGGATAGAGAAACTCCATCCTCAAACGCCAATTTCTCTTCATGTTACTGTTTTAACAATGATTACTCCATTGTTGCCCCAGCTTATCTTTCAGCAGTGCCTCAGCAGCCACAGGTAAGCTGTCATCGGTCACTGGCATGTGTAAGCTCAAATCCAAATAGAAAGGTCCTTCAGAGAGCAGCGATCAGTCCACAGCGAAGGATCTAAGAGCCAGGTCTAGGCTCTCTGGCCTGCATGCAAAGCACCTGCTAAGAGGAGGCTCATGACTAGTTTTTTACCTCTGATGCCACTGTGACCTGATTAGTGATCTGAATTGTTGCTGTGATTAACAACAATTAGATGCAGCCATTCAAAAATATGGTAACTACCACAATGGGATTTTTTAATATATAGTACATTTCAGTTAGTTTTAATCATGTTAAAAGTACAAAGTGTCTGTGTTACGAAGCCTAAGAAAACATAGGTTTTCTAAAGGACCAAAAATTGTTGTCAGTTTGGATGACTGTGCTGTTAGATTCATAAACAAGTTCTATCTTTGCTATAGGTGCCAAGTATCATTTGGCCTAAATTGTTAAAGAGTGGTTTCTTCCTATCAGTAAGCTGAAACACCTGCACATCTCTGTGCCCTTTACTGAAATAAATATCAAGTCTCCTGGCCTAACATTCTTGCCCTAGTCACCACATAACAATAATGATGCTCCAAGTGCCTGTATACTGTACTGCTAGTGAGGCATCAAATATGGTACAGGAAGAAACTGTACTAATGGTCTATGTTTATCTTTGTGAAGAGCAGCACTGTACAACATAGCTGTAACACTTCTGGCTTACTTGTATGTTCCCGTTCTGAAAAGTTACTGTTTTATTAATATCTGTATAAAACAAACTGGGGGTTAATAAAACAATACTTTACACTGTTTTCACCTATTACAGCTAAGCACCACACAACAGAGAAATTCCTATGACAAGAATTATATGTTTGAATAGTCATAGCACCATCACTTAATGACTGTAGCAGGATATTGGGAATTGCTGAATTACAGCTGCATCTCTGACTTTATGAGGCCTCAAGCAAGTTATTAAAATGCTGCAATTTGGGCAGTGAATAAAAAAACCCAACAAACCAAGGCCCTAAATTAGTGGATGTTTATGCAATGGGGTTTTTTTAAATGTTTACCTTGATCTTTGTGCTCCTCTAGTACTGTGTATACAACAAGTCTAATGATGCATCTTTAGTACCGTCTTGGCATGCTGTGAGGATTAGCTAATGACTGCACAGCTCTTTGAAGATGTTCAGGCCATTTATTTTTAATTAATGTTTACAAGCTACTTTGAGCTTCTCTGATGAAAGGGCTTAAACAGATACAAAATTTCAGGTGGTTATTAGTGCAATATGCAAGAGGGTAAGATAAGGAAGTAAAATGAGACTACAGGAAAAAGGAAATAGCTCCATTTATCAGACATCTGGGATGTGTGGGTAAATAATATGACATAAAAAGTTAAAAAACTATGAGACAGGCATACTGCTCTGAGAAATGACAGGCTCCCATTGCATGTGCTGACTAGAGGTTTTCCATGGAATTGTGAGGGCAGTGAGGCACTGAAACAGGTTGCCCAAAGTAATGATAAACGCTGCGTCCCTGTCAGTGTTCAAGGCCAGGTTGGACAGAGCCTTGCACGACCCGGTCTAGGTTGAGGCATCCCTGCCCATGGCAGGGGATTGGAACTAGACGATCTAAAGGTCCTTTCCAACCCAAACCATTCTATGATTCTATGATTCTGAGGCACATCTCCACGGAGTGTCAGTTATTACAATTTTATAATACAGCTCTGGCAGTTCATTCTAGCTAAAGATTGGGTTTATTTGTTGGCAACAAACTACTCTCATCTTCTTCCTCGTTGCCCTACATACTCCTGGGACACAGAAGTGGTAGGCAAATCCACAGAGTCTTATTTGCAAGAGTTATGGATTAGATTCCCATTAAAATCAGCAGCAAAACTCCTTGGGCCCAATTTCATTATCAAAAAAAAAAAAAGCAGCTGTATGATAGCAGCTAGATGTTAATATTCAGATTTCACATGATTTATAATGATGTGGGTGGCACACAGTTTGATGGGAGTTCTGTTCATTCTGATCTATTGTAAGATAAAGCCCAGGCCTTTGAAATAAGTTTCTGTTTGTTCTATTTTCACTCACTCTTGATCAGTGTCTCATAATGGCTAAAAACCAAAGGAACTTGGGGGCTGCTTTGGAGTCAGCCGGAAACCCTGATACATAAAAATAAATAAATGCAGACATTGGGGAGTAAAGTATCTCTTTTAATAACAAAATATGAGTGTTTGACATGAGTACTCTCAGTCATCTAACTGGCACAGTGCTGCCACACCTCGATTTATCCAGTGTTTCTGGGGCTTGTCTGACGGGAGTTCAATTGAGAGAACATAGTTGGTCGAGTGGCCAGTAGTGGATAAGACACCTTTTCTTTCACTTGTCTTGTATACAGGGCATGAATAGATGTTCATATGACAAAATTTGGAACTATCTCCAGGTTTCAGCCAAATAACGGGCAAAGAATCATAAAGGATTTTTGGAAGTGATTCTCCAATTACCAAGGATTCTCTATCCCATCGTGCACCTTCCAAAAAAAGGCCTCTCACATAAGCCCCATCTTCTGGCATTTTCTCCATTGTGTGCTCCTGTTGCATTACCTAGAATGATTAAACCATTGCTCGACTTTATTTTTATCTGGAGTATATTAAATCCTATAAGTGATAGTCTGAAATTGCTCCCTTAAATAAAACTTCTTTTCATTTGAAAACTCTATTCCTTACTGCCCTAGAACATCTTTCGAGCTGTTCAAGAAAAACAAAATTCTGCTGCATTTTCTTACCTCAAATTCAAATCCAATATGGTCAATTGGGATTGTGTATTTTCTGGCATAGTTTTGTAAGACACCAGTCAAAAAAGACTGAGTGAAGTAGAATCCTGAGAGCCAAAACACTGTGGGCGGCCCACTGATGACCCAATCCTGAATATGTAGAGAAAAAGCAAACAAGAAAACATACATTTGTAGCTTCTCTGTGCCAATTCACCAGAAAAAGGATGTCTTTCAGGATACTTTTTCAGATATACTGAAACAGCACAGTGAGATCTAAAGCTTGATGGAACCCTCTGCATATTACCATTAATCCTGTATTTTTCACAGACCGCAATTCACAGAAGTCAGTTATTTATGATGAAAACAAAAATAATCTCTCATTTTTAAACAACCACAGCTCAGTGCTACTGAGAAAGAAATTTCAGAAAGTAGCCTAAGCATATTTTGGTAAGTCTAGATTCTAACTAGGAAAAAAAAAAAAAAAAGGAAAAATTATTTAATTTGGACACTTACACTTTCTTTTACAGTCTTGTAAACACCAATCTCCTAACATGAAAAAAGGCCATCTTACATAGCATCTTCACCAATCACTGTGAAGGCACTACAGCCAACACATCAAATCTTAGTAGAGGAAATCAATCCAGTACAAAGATGACAGACAAGGAAATCTTGGGCCAGGATCTTTGTTGGATATCACAAAGGCAGTAGGAAAGACAAGGCAAAGGCAAAATGTCCCCACACTAAGCCATTTGGAGTCAAAAGAAGCACATATGCTACTCTGATCCAGCAAACAGGAAACTCTGCTGCTTACACAAATCTTTCAGACACTTTTTTCTAGCTTTCTCCTCACCTGACTTATATGAGGGTCATGGTTTAACCAAAACCAGGACATCTCACTACCCTAGCTATTTAAGGTACATCTAAAATCTTAAGTAATTTAAAGACAGCACTAAGAATGCAAGGGAAAGGGTGATGGAAGAGTGAGTAAAGAATAAAATAGCTTGTTTAAAAATGTGTGAAAGTGGTGTCACTTTCAATTAAACTTGATTTACAGTCACATATATAAAATTTAATAGTGCCTGTTGTGCACTGTTTCTAAAGCATCCTCACACCTGGTTGAGGACCCTTTGAGCAGGGAAGTCATTAAGACATCAATGCAAACTAAAATGCATCTTCTAGAAATAGAAACATGGAAACTACCATATGCAGCTCTGGATTAGCACCAAAGGATTATACTCCCAACTCACCCTGCTGAGCAATTGCCCAGCTAATTCCAATGCTGTTAATGCAGTGTATATTGGGTCATAAGTCTGTGCAAGCAGTTAACAATTGGTAGCAATAAGGCTACTGCTGAGTGAGGACAGTACTGACACACATTTCAGCTTTCAAATACCAACTCCTTAGACCTGTCAGTCTCAGTTTAGCATACCTGGAAGAAGACCAAGCGACAGAGGAGATCGGACACATAACTTCCCAGTGGCTTCAGTGATGGATAGGATTTGGCAGCCCACATTGATGGTACTTTTCCTATTAGCATGCTGTTGAAAACATCTTCAAGTTCAGATGACATCAACACTTGGCCTTTAATGGCTTTGCGTAAATTAATGAGGCTGCTCCGAATAACTTCAGTAAGCCTTCAGATAACAAAGAGATTATCAATCATCTCATTATTTATTTCTTATTATCTGGTTAAAGGCCTCTGAGTCCAACTTGAATAAAGGGCTGATCTAAGCTGGTAAATGTCCTATCAGAAAATCCTTATCTCACCTCTACTTACCAAAACTCCTACTTATCTTAGAAAAGCAAACAAATAAAAACACACACACGTAGAAATGAAAGGCAGTGAAAATTCTCATTCTAGACAAGGGAAATCAAGTGACAAGAACTTTAGAGATTGTAACACTGATTAACACAGTGTGTTGTAAATACTAGGGCCTGGGTGTGACTTAAAAAGAATAAAGTAGGCTGTCCTACCTCAACATGACAAACTCAAATGTGATTTAAGTTCATACTCCAAGACTATAAGTACTATTTCCATATTAAGGTAGTCAGCTGCAGCTTTGAAGTCTTTTTAAAAAGTTCATCCAAAGCAGAATCTTTGTTAAGAACAATGTATTGTAAAAGGCTTATAACTGCTTAAGCACTGATGAACACAAGCATATTTCAGTATTAGTAGTGCTACACAAAACACTGAGCCATACCTGTTAAATCGAATTAGTTCTTGCCTAAGAACTGTATTCATTGACTCTTCATAAAGTACTGGGTACATCTTCATAACCTCTTCCATATCAAAGTCACTTGGTAATTTGGATAGGATGTCCTGTGCCAACTCTTCAACAGTTTCCTGTATGCACAAGTTTGCAGAGATAAGGAATTTCCTTCTTTTCACCTATCTTTATTCAATAAATTCCATAAAACACTATAGATTTTATATTTTTCTGTACAACAACATACATATTTTAGTCCAATTTTCTAAGGAAATAATTCTTACATGCTCTTACTCTCTTTGTGCAACATCCTGTCTGTCTCTGCATGTGCCTTTTTGCTCCTTTTCCCTTTTCAATAATTTTAAATTTATTAGTAATTTCAATTTAATTTGCAAAAATGCTTTCAGCAACTTCTGTGGAAACAGGCAGCAGAACAGACAAACACAATCCTACTACTGCCACGGTGAAGGAAAAGACAAAGCATGCAGCACAGGAGAAATGACAGGAAGACCCCAGCCATGAAAGAAGCTTTACTTACATCATATTAGACATCATAAAATCACCAGACAATCCTGGAAATGAGGGATTGTCTAGTGTCAATTCTACTTTTCAACACTCCACTTGTGTATAAAATACAGGATGTCAAATCCGAGGGGCTTGAAGGGTCATTTATCCCAAATGGGCATGTATTTGGCCTGAGTAACCTGAGCTGCAAGGACAGGATGAAGGAAAGAAATTCCCAACATCTTCACAACCAGGTCCTGTGGAGGGTAGGTGACAGTGAGGTCTGTATCCAAGTGATTCCATTCTGCCATCCTTTTGTGCCACAAAAGTCACAAACACAGTTATACGTTTGGGACTGCAGAAACTGCAGCAGCCAAGGGAAGCAAAAGAAATCACATCTCAAAAACCAAGTTTTCAATGAGTAAAAACAGACTGGAACTGCCATTATAGCACAGACTTCAACAGGAAGACAACTTTTGCCTCTAATGGTTGTACATTGATTGCCTGGTGGCTGAATGAGTTGATATAATTTCCTGTCACTCAAGTCTGTCCCCTACTGAGAATGGCAGGGATGGTCATACAACCACTGCTGGATGAAGACAGGCCAGTGCATGAACCTCCACCACTGGAGTCTGTAGACTGGAATTAAATGTCATACCTAAAATTACCTAAAGATGGATGTGATCTGAGGTGCCTTATCAGCTCTGATTGTTAACTGTGGCCTAACTACAATTCATGACTAAAGTAAAGCACTTCACTGTTACTTTAAAAAGTGAAATATAAAAGGAACATTCTTATTCAAACTGTGTGTTCTACTCAGCTAGGTGGGGTTGTGTGTTACTAACCTATTGAATTCAAAGTCATTAGGGTATCTTCAATCTTTAAAGGTTCTTCTATGCCAAATCTATCTACCTCTCTACAGGGATATTCACATCTACTGCCATTGCCAGTCGTGACGAGAGATGCTGGATTACCCTGAAACCTAGGGCATGACAGGAAAGGGCACCTTTCCAGACTGCATATTGATCTTCTTTCCCCAGTTACCTGAGGGGACTTGCCACTTCCCCCTGCTTCTCTTGGCAAAGTCAGGAGCACTCCATGGAAAAGCTGGTTAGTCTCCTGGTTATCCTTGGTAATGTCTGCATTTTCATGAAGTCCAAACACTTCAGGGTGTGTTATAATTGGTAAATTTCGTATGTATTCAATGTAAGACTGTAAAAGAAACATTTAGATACCAGAAATAATGCAATGCTATGACGCAAATCACGCAATTCATAAATGATCAGTAAACCCAACTTGGACAGAACCTTCCCATTTGCAATCAAACACATTAGTTCCCAGTTAAACACAACCAGGAATTGACTTACTCAGTCCACAGAGAAAAATATTAAAGTTCTGAATGCTTCAAAAACTCACTGAGGAGTTGTTCTTACCACCCTCACATAGGTAGCAAGAGAAAGCAAAAGAAAGGAATGTACATTAGAAATACACCAGGAGTGCTGGTAGGAGTCACAGGAGAGAGTAGGATGCTATATGTATGTCATGGTTTAAGCCCAGCCGGCAACTTGGAACCACGCAGCCGCTCGCTCACTCCCCCCCTTTCCCTTCCTCCCCCCGCTCCCGGAGGGATGGGGAGGAGAATCGAAGGAATGTAACTCCCACGGGTTGAGATAACAGCTCTCCAGTAACTAAGGTATAATACAAACCACTACTGCTACCAATAATAATGATAAGAGGAATAACAAGGGAAAAGGACACAACCGCTCACCACCCGCCGACCGATACCCAGCCCGACCCGAGCAGCGATCTGGGCCTTCCGGGTAACTCCCCCCAGTTTCTATACTGGGCATGACATGCTGTGGTATGGAATACCCCTTTGGCCAGTTTGGGTCAGGTGTCCTGCCTCTGCTTCCTCCTGGCTTCCCCTCCTCTCTGGCAAAGCATGAGACTGAGAAAGTCCTTGGTCAGAGTAAACATTACTGAGCAACAACTAAAAACATCGGTGTTATCAGCGTTGTTCCCAGACTGAAAGTCAAAAACACAGCACTGCACCAGCTACTAAGAAGGAGAAAAAATGACTGCTGTAGCTGAACCCAGGACAATGTATCACTCCCACAACTGCAAGCTACACAAATAGGCGGGATTTGAGCACATATGTTATCTCTGTGCAGTTGTTAGAAGGGGGAAAATGGGATGAAAATTGAGTCAGCGATTCCACCATTCATGCAATTCCACCTCCTCATCCTGATCACTGCTTTCAAGGCAAAAGTGGTTGCAAGAGGGTGCAGAAGTACCCTGTAAATTCCTGAAGCCTGATTCCTATTGACTTTCTAGAACTGTACTGGAAACCTGCACAGCAGTGGCTTTTTGTATCAACACACATCAGAGTATCAGATGATCGCTACATCTCCATTGTTGTGTGTTAGATATTAAGTACCACATTTGTATTTCATACATAAGATATATTCTGGCATTGCTTTGTGATCTTATGGTTTTTATTTTCTATTTGTTGCATTAGGCATATCAAAGTACAGTGTAGATAAGATTTTTTTCCCAATAACTCAAAAAGAATTTACATCTGTTATCTTCTCACCTCATATGGACCATGTGGTGGTATATAGTAATCATCTCCAGCTGTAAGCATATACTTGTCCTGCTCTATATCCTTGCTGTAGATTATGGAAAGTAGAGACAGGAGAAGACGCCTGTCTTTATCATCTGTTACTCTGCCTCCATAGTTACATTCCCCTGGGAAAGGACAAAGAAAACCAGGATGAAAAATTCAAAGTTAATGAACAAATAAAAATTGTTCCACAATAATGGACAGCTCCGGTAAGCTCAAGTTCTGAAGCTCTGTGTCTTCAAAGATTTTAGGTCCTGTACTTCAATTGATTCAACGGAAATTAGTCACTTTAACACCATTGGAACTATGGGCCAAATTTGTGCATCTTGGTGACGAAAGGTTTAAGGAACACTGTGAGCTGGTCTGAGAAACTGCTACTCATGCCACAGTAAATAATGTCATGTTTTAAATGACAAGTCTTTTGCTTGAAATTCTCATAAAAATTTTTAGACCTGTCAAAATCTGAACAGTGCTATATAGCTGATCCTTCTATTGTTCCTTTCATGAAAACCTAATGTGATTATGTATGTACAGAGTAGAAAGCAAGGGATCACAAATACGAAATACCCCTGTACAGAAGAGTTTGGAGAGATTTAAGCAACGAACGGGCAAGCGATGAGGGGAGGTTTACACTTGATATAAAGTACAGAAAACAGCTGAAAGCTCACAGGTATTGCTTTAATTCTGACTCCTGAAATTCTTTCTCATAAAGCTAATCATAATATTAGAAAAAATCAAGAATAATCTTTATAAGGTTGACAAAGGAGGTGCCAAGAAGCAGCTATCTTTCTAGAGAAACAGAACTGAATAGCCACAGCAACCAAGTTATTTACAGAGGTCAACACCTCCTGCTTTAAACTGATGAGTATTATCACATCCTCTGGTAAACTGTCAGTGCTATGTCAGGATCCTATTGATCAGTTAAGGTGAAACAGAGGCCACTGATGTTTTTATTTTACATATAAGAAACAACAACCAGGAGGTTTGCTGGACCATTAGTCATTGTTCTAGCTATATATAAGCCAAGCAGGGGCCTCCGAGGGTGCGGGTTCCGACTTCTCTGTATCTGGAAGGCTAAGAAAGTAAACCTGAATAGAATTCACTCAGTTTGTCAAAACCTCATCAGTTTATTACTCCACCAGCTGAAAGTGTCTAGCAAAGTCAACATGTATTAGAGGGTATAATGCCTGTACCTGTAAGATATGTCAGAGCTTCAAATGGGACTTCTTCATATTCATTCAGAAACATCTGGATCTGTCGCATACTAATTCTGAGGTCAGATTCGTTGAACTCATATGGAATATTCCAACCTGTTTAATTCAGAAAAGATGGGGCAGTGGTGCACTGTACTGACAACCATGCTCAGGAAATGATGGTATGGTACTACATTGTTACTGAAAATACAGTGCTGAAGATAACAGCTGCTAGACAGTACCTAGAAGCAGCTCTGGAATTTACTGGGCTATTTATTGCACAAGGGACAATATGATTCCATAACAATATTGTATCCTAAGGCACTATTACCATCATTCTATATAATTAAAACATAACCACAGGCATTTTGGCATCACATACTCCTGAAAACATAGATTTTACCTGAAGTAGAACACAGACCTGCTCAGTACTTTCAGCTAATCTGTTGCTATCTGGAGACGATGAGAACAGGAGTTTTAGTTCATTGACTGTTTTAATTTTTAATTAGTTTACCCATCTATTAACGCCGGTTTTATATGACATTCAGAGTAACAGCACAAAAAGAAAACCAAAACCAAAAAAAAACAACCACACATGAGCACAATCCAAGAGAATCCTTCAGAAAACCTGTACCCCTAGTGCAAACTTAAAAATAAGGCTATTGCTGCAACTATCCTTCTCCCAGACAGCTAGTCACATTAAAGTGTAGATGTTGCTTTAGAAAATCACCTCTTTGACACTTAAAAAATTATATTTTTACTTTAAAGCAGTAAATATCTTCATAGTAGCAGTCTAGTGTTTATTTAAACAGCTGCTTATTAAAATAAGGACAGTGGCTTTCAGTCAAAATATATCATTTCATAACTGTAACCTATTAAGAGGAAAACAGACTCAGTTGGAATGGAAGGCTGTGAACTTCATGTACACCAATGGAGAGCGTGAACTTTATATAGCTATAAAACTGAATTTATAATTCCATACATTTCTACATTTTACGTAGAAATTCTATATAGTTTTCAAAATATCTCAAGATTTCAGAAAAAGCTGAGGCACTGATTCTTATGCGTATCTTTTCACTGTTGTGTTACGAACAATACACTGTAGCTACATAAATGTTTCATGCCAAGTAAACATATGCACTAGCTCTGTTAAAACAAAGTATATACATAAGTAACAAAAGCAGAATTGAGAAAGACAAATATTTAATTGCAAAAATTTAAAACAGAACTGGATTTGATGGTTAGTAAGAACTACAGTAATAAATGAATAACATAGCAAGCTACAATTTAATGTAACTACTGTGTAATATATTTACTTGGAAAAGTGGTACTTTCTAGTCCTCCCTCAGGGTAATACTTTTAGTAGCTTCAAGAATAGCTTTGCCTGAATAAGAATCCCTACAAATAACAGCTTTTAAATGTTACTACGTCCTGTGCAATACAGATTGCACTCTTGAAACATTGGTAAGAACAGTACTGCCTTTTTACAGAGAGGCTCCAACAATGCACTTCAAAACGACTGATCTTTTTGAAACAACCTGCAAAATAATATAAACCTTACCCAGTGGGCCAAAGTTTCTCCTTTCTTGCACAATAGCATGAAAAAAGCAAAGGCCAAACAGCAGTTTTTGCCACATTTCTGGCTTTTGGCAACCATTAAAGAACACAGGGTCAGAGATAGGGTCATTAAGGTATGATCGAAGAAGGTTCACTCTCACTCCTTTAGGAGGCTCATTTGTCATTTTGATGCCATTCTGGAGGATACTAACAGGAAACTTTTCTGATGGATAACTAGTTAACCACAACCTGAAAAGAATTTTAAAAAGCACATTATAAAAAAAAAAAAATCATTCATGATGACAAATATTCAATACTGATCTGCAAAAGACTAAGGCTTGTTACTAGCTTAACTATAATAACAACATACATATTTGTTCTAAAACAAAGGCATAAAGCAGATTATACTGGACGGGCAGGGAAGACTACATCCTTATTAAGTATCTTTATTTTATCATTGCACATAAATGACATGAATGTTATACTTAGTTTTTCAAACAAAAGAAGTTTCATTTCTTTTTACTAGTGTCTTCAGCAAATAAGCATTACTTCCATTAAAAAGAGGAAAACATTAAACCCCCTACCTGAACTTGTCATTGGTATTCTCAGGAACTATAACTTCCTCACAGATTTTTTCCAAAGCAGGCATCCAGCTAGTTGCAAGATGGCAGTTTTGCAACACTACCCACGTTCCATCAGCAATAGCCTGAGAAATCATTTTTGCTGCTATTGGGCCCTGGCCCTGCCCAAGTGAAATGGTTTGAATGCTTGTGCCTCCCATGCCAACATCATCAGCAAATTTTAGCAAACCTATGATGGCAAGTTTCACACATTCAAACAAAGACAAAGTCTATGTTATACTATCATTTCTATAATGTAAAACATAATTAAAGGGGCAAAAGTCAATAAATATTTTATTAAATTGATAAAAACCCACCTCAACAACCCAGAATAGTATCAAATGCTTTATCAGTCACTATGTTTCTGAGGCATATGCTAAAATTTAGATGTATAAAGTAATACTAAAAAAAATCCACCCAAAAACCAAAACCAAAAACTAGCAAGGTTAAATGCATGTCCTTTCCTTTAGCCCTGAGTGCTCAGTTCCTGCCTGCACTCCAGCTCTCTCCTCTCTGCTGTGTGGGTACAATTGTTTGTGGGGGTTGAGCTGTAAATTGGATCTTCAGATCTGGTCAATAATAACCCTCCAGCTTTGCCATCAAAACCAGTACCTCCTGGAAATACATCCTCACAGTATGGCTCCACATGACAATTCTTTTGGCAGAAAACCAGGTTTAAAAATAAGCTGGGTGGTTATATTTTAAAGGACATTTAACAGATGTGGTTTTAAGTGTGGTCACATACACCTTTTAATTAGTGACTGAGAGGGAAGAAACTTTCTGGAGGAGGGGCTGCAACAAAGACTGGAGCAAGTCCCAAACACCCACCGAAAGAACTGTATTGCAAGCATAAATTATAAACTGGTCTGGATGTTACAAGCTGTTAGATCCCTAAATTGCTGCTCAGAGATCTAGACATTTAATCACCACTACATTCACTCCACCCTTTAGCAATTTTAGTATCGCTGTTTATATATGGGCAGATGCAAACATTTGATATTCTATCATTGCTGTATTGTACTTTAACAACACTTTAAAGACCAAAATACACTATTAGCAGTTTAGTCACACTCAGAGACATTTAACCAGACTAAAAAATAACAATCTCACCTGCCATAGGATCAGCACCTGGTGATAATACAAAAATCAAAGGGGCACAACAATTTGAATCACTGTAACTTTTTCCAAGATCAAAAGTAGGTGGTTCAATAAAAGTTCTTCCCATATTTTCCACAATGAATTCCTGCACTGCTGGAATAATTTTGTCAGGTCTCAAACATCTGAGAATAACCAAGCGATGTAACCCCATCAGTGTGCTCCAAGCATCTGGGAAGGCTTCTTCATGGGGTCTTGCAGAGTCATAGATTAGTTTCCACTTTGAAGAATTCTCTCTTACGTGTTCCATTAGTCCCTGCAGGTTTGTCAGACTAGATGCACGTACAAGCTCAGCCCATGATTTCTCAGATAGCCAATCTGAAGCTGGATTGGGGTGAGGATTATCAAGAGCAACACCTCCTGTCAGTAGGAAATGCCAAACCTCATCATCTATTTGGTCTTTTCCCTTCATAATACCTATTGTCAGAAGCAAGGAGAATAACAGTTTATCCTTTTCAAACAGCGAACGACACACGTTATTATAGATGCTTACTGTGAAATGCTCAGTTATATTTTTAATCCTCTCTTCTAGATCTTCACTCTTTTTGCTTTTAGCAATAGAATGAACGTACAAGTTAATGAACCAAATTAATGAATATTGGTACATAGGTTCAATGTTTGCCAGATCAGAGATGCAGAAGAAGATAACAGCTGAATGAAGAGCAACTGGTTTATACCCCATTCGAGTAGTATCTATTTGCATCTCAGTTACAGAGGAAATTTTCTGCTTTTCACAGATTTCTTCAGATAACTCTTTGGATGAAGACAAAACAGTAATTGCTGTTTCATCTTCTAAGATGTTTCCTTCTGAAGTGGAAAGGATCTCCAGGATTTTATCTTCTATTTCCTTTAGCTGTTTCTTGTTGGCTGCACTTTCTATAATCAGTTTATTTTTCTTTTCTTCTAGCTCAGGCTTTTCCTCTGCAGCTACAATTCCAAGAAGCTGATCCTGAAGACCCAAAGGTGTAATCACAAAGTTGATTAGACAAACTTTCACAGCCACTTCAGGAAGATAATGAGGATTTCTTAAGCAGGTTGTTATGTAAAACCTGAAATCTCTTGAATATTCGATTACATTTTCCCCTAATTTAATGTATTCTACTCCTTGCTGTTTGAATGTTAGCTTTAATAAAATGGGTTCTATGAAAGCATCCAGTTCTTCACCAACATTTTCTAGCAAGACTGGTGTTCCAAGCTGAATAGCATTTTCTAATACCCTCACATAATGTGTGTCAGATAATTTGATAACTGACAGCCTGTTAGTTTTCTCCATGTTTTTTACCCATTTATTAGCTTGCCTTTGAGGATCTATCATTAAAGCCCATCTTCTTGAGTTAGAAACAATTATGCCATTGTCAGTGGAAAAAGAATCAACTGGTAATCCAGCAATCTGCCATGCACGGATTTTGACTGGATCCCCTAATGTATTACTTAAGCTAAAATCACTGGAGCACGGTATGTTCTTTTCATTACATAGGACCTGCCATTGCTGTTGACATTTCAGGCGGTAATCGACAGTAAAGGCTCCCAAATAAGCCACAGTTCCTGATGATAACAACACATCTCCTGTAAGGTCTATGTACCGAATTCCTAATAATCGTGCAGCTTCTGTCCACCTGTCTTTCTCTCCACCAAGACCACTAATCAGCTTTTCAGCTCTCACAATCTTTTGTGAGCAGTGTTCAATATTATCTTCTAATTCTTTCTTCCGTTCAATCATGTTGTCAAGCTCAACATTCAAAGCTTGGAGGCGATCAACTACCTCCTTAAGTTCTGCTTGTTTTATTTGTAGCTTCTGCATTTGAACCTCCAGTAATTCTTCTGCAGCCTTCAAACGTTCACGCTTTGGGGCAACCACTTTTGCAACACGGTCATATACCTCCATGGCTCGCACCCACTTGCATAGTCCTTCACAGGCAGATGAGACATTTTTTATGACAGCTGGCTGAAAATCTGGATGATCAATAAACTTCTCTCTAATTTTCTTCATTATAGCAGGAGGAATATTATCTTTGTCATATGTCTTTAAGCTCTCCAGGAATTTTAGATCACTAAGAAGTTTTCTAGATGGTCCCCAGTAGTCTTCTACCATTTTACCTATATTGTAAATGATACTAAAATCAGGCTTAAAACACACATATCAAAACTGAAAAAAAACCTATCCCAAAACTTTAAACATAATACAAAGAATTAACATCAATGACTTTGCAATGCAGTTTTACTACAACCACTAGTTAACCACTGTTAACTAGTTTGGGAAAACCATTACCTAAAGAAATTCAGACAGAAACTTCAGCATCACCAACCTATGTCATATTTAATTACATATTAATTCTAAATCAACAAAGCAAAATAAGGGAAACATATTACTATAAAGTCTTTCTTATCATTGTTTATTAGATAAACCAGTAACTATGCGAAAACATTCCCTCCTAACCCAAATAAGAAAATTTTGGATGAAAGATATTTATAGAGTTCTTATTTTCAGTTATGAAGCAATAAACTGTTGGGACCTAAAGTAGAAGGAAAGTAAAAGAAAAAGGTCTCTTTCCTCTCCTACCTTGCAAATCCTGTGCAATCCAATGACAACAACATAAATCACACAGAAAGAGCTTATTAGAGTGGTTGGCTGTCACGGGTATAGTTAGAATTCTGCTTCCCAGATGACTCCCAGCATGAAGTTTGGTAGCAGGGATTAGAGGGGAAAATATAGGTGAACGGTGCCCAGCACACCTCCAGCTCCCAGATGGACAATGCAAATCTCATTCTGGGTTCAAATCAAGACAATGCAAATCTCATTTTGGGTTCAAAGCAAGTTGAAGAGATGACTTTGTGCTGGTGACTGGGATTTATTTACAAAGCTTGTACAACAGTGTCAAGCAAGGGCAGTATGTTACAATGGCAGAAGCAGTTCTTAGCTATTCAGTGTAGTTTTAAGTCATTGCTAGCAAAATGCACTTTTAGTGCACATGGCTGCATTCACACCAGAAACACTTCGCTAGTACAACACAGCAGTACCCCAAGTATTCCTAGAACAGGGATAACAAATACTGCCTCATTACCACTGCCATTTGGATCAGGCTTCCTCTCTGGTTTAGCACCCTTCATGACACAGATACTCTCCATGATGAGCTTAACAGGACCAGGTGGATTCTGCATGGATTTCACAAGAGAGATATCTGAAGGATTCAGAGTATCAAGAGCTGAAAGTGCTGCCTCCAAAGCTGGCATGGCCTCAGCAAGGTCTCCTTCACATTCATCCTGTTAAGACATTGGGCAGAACACTGTAAATCTTCATACAATACCAGATCTGCAAACTGATTACCGCACTACAGCACAGCCTCAGAGAACCTTCTCTGCTTCTAAGTACCTAATAAAAAGATTGTTCACACCACTGTGTTTCTTGGAGAGAAAACAAGATTTGTCTGCACAGTTTAAAGAAAGAAAGTTTGTAGAGAAATTAGTTACTTCCATAAGCTGAAATGATAGCTGAAAAAGCCAGACAAGCTTTCAAGATCAAAGTCTCTCTGCTCTGACAAGGAGAATTAAAATATAAGTTAGATACAGTGGTTCTTAGTTAAATCTTACAGTGCTGGTCAGGTAAATATATACATACTGTGTATCTTAAATTCTTAACCATGTACTCAGATGTCAGTAATTATCTGTCATATCTATCACTGACATTTCCAATGAGTCACAAAAAAAACCCACAACAAACTGAGGAATCCTGCAGCTTCCCATGGGAAATTCAGTGCTACAGGCAAATGGCTATGGCAGTATCTTTAGGTTATGCTTAATCCGCATAATTTGGCAGCACTATGCCAAATTATCTCAGCTAACTCTAAATTGTTGAATCTGTTGAGAAGGAGAATGTATTAGTACAGATATAAGAACTATAACTTTTGGAATGTGAACTAGAAAGGGAAGCTACGAAGTACTGTGAGATACAGTCATAGTCCAAGCAGCCAAAATTTACCTTGTTTATATTAGGATCATGTCATTCATCATCTCTTGCAACTCTGTTACTTTAAGAGCTTGGATCATCCTATTAACACATCATCACAACTCCTACTTACTTGGAAAGACTTGGAACCAGGCTTGAGCCCTTGTATACTACCTTAATAGCTTTAGCAGCAGCTGCTGCTTCATTAGCCTCTTTTTCATCTGCTGACACTAGTTCCTTCTTTGCATCTACTTCAATTGTTTCCTTTTCAATATGGACCATCATTTTGTCTGTTTCTGCAGAAGTTTTAACCAGTTCAGGCTGAAGGGCAGTCAGTTCTTTCTGCATCTCTGAAACCTGGTGAACAGAACAGGAAATCAAGAAAAAATCTGTGTAAACACTGCATGAGTTTCACATCTTGATGTCTTAGAAAGATCAGAGGACACTATATTAATACAATCTAAAAAGGGACATTTGCTCTAAATAATTATTAAAATAGTTCTTTAGCCTATTTTTACTAAGAGCTGTTTTATTTGACAGAATAGATGTTTTTAAAGGATTTTTTTTTACCATCCACGCAATACACACAGTTTGTTTTTGAAACCCCAAATAATCCTTTATTGTACAGGTAAAAAACTGTTTGGATATACCAAAAGAAACATGGAAGGAAACACAGAATTAGTGACAGTAACAACTATAAACTGGATGTCCTTCATCTAGCAGGTATCTGGAAGCCCCTCTGCATCTTGGAAAGATCAATCCCTGGATCACATGGGTTCAAAAAGGGGGTTATTTACTCGGAACCCAACCAATTTCCTACTAGGAATCTACTCAGGAATTAATGTTTATTATTGTCTTACAACATTCTTTAACTTGTCCCCTATTTTGAAAGGGTACTAGGACGCTGAGTCATGGATTCTCCACATCAAATTTCAAGAAAACAGTAAGATTTGTAAGGTTTACTCCTTCAACATTTAATGAGTACCATCAATTTCATTTAGCTTTCTATTAAGTGCTATAATCCAAACTTACATACCATATTTTTTTAAAAAGACTAAGCGGTAATCTAACTTTTCCTACTGGCTTTCTACAGAGAATTATCAATAGCATCATGACTATGGTGAAGAGGGAATTTGATGTTTTATTTTTGTAAGTTTTAATCAGCTTATACAGACCCCATACTAAAGTATGCACATGGCACATATTCGGTGTTTTCATCTGAAACTTACTTGTAAAGCTGCAAAGTCAAGTTTTTCAAGTCCTATAAGATAACGAGTTCTCATCATGTCAACTTCTCCCCTTTTGCTATTCAGCAGAGTCTTAAAGGTAAGAATTAGTTCTAGGTATGAAGCTGGTGTCACATAGTTGTGTCTTTGCAGTGTAGCATAATAGCTGATGGAGAGCTTTCTCACGCTTTCTTGGAAATACTTGCACATTGACACAACCCTAGAGAAAGTTTTTCCACATTATTATGCAAATATGATCTGTCTTCATGTTAATTAAGAGGAAATTATGCTAAGTTTATCAAATTATATTAGTGTTAGTGAAGGCAGAATTTAGAATTTTAGAAGCTTTTTATCCATTATGAGAAATATTTTACACTCATTTTCAAGAGTGGCCTGATTTTCAGAAATATCAGATATATCTATCTAGGTCTCTTTGACTTGCACTGAAATCCCAGAATTGGCTTTGTTTTGTCCATTCATAAGGACAGTTTCCTGATCAACTATGTTGGGGGTGCAAGGGGAAAGAGAATAAACATTTGCTTCATATGTTTCTTGACAGATAAACTCATACTCTTTTCTAATATCATCTTCAAGTTCAACATCCTCTAAAAACTTGTTAGCAACCATTTCCAAAGCATCTGTAGGCCAGGTCTGGAACCAATCGATGGTGCAGCAGTTTATCAGCGAAGGGAACATCCGTAATCGATTCCGAAATGCATCTCCAACAGGACTCATGGCTAGAAAAAAACACCCCACATGATTGTTACCTAAGTTTGTTTGCAGTTAGGAAGCAGAAAAACCTAAGCCTAATAAAAAAACATTCTGAGAAATAACTCACTGTATACAGACCTAAGACAATATGCAAATTTTTCTTCACCCTTTCAATAAAGAAATTGTACATAGCAAGGGGAGTGGCTTCAATTTTCTTGTTCTCCATCCTTGCTGCAGCTTGCATTTTCTCAACAATTTCAGCTTTCTCATCTGCTGCAAAGATATTAGGCACATCACCGGAATTTAAAAGCATGTTGATATCTTCTACAAAGGCTTCATCCTTTATTTGATTATCAGAGAACAAAAAGGACACATTCTTGTTACCAACACCTGCTTTCAGCATCACTTGTTTAACATCATCTTTCCATTCATTGACTCCATAGGACTTCGTAATTTCAATTTGAAAGAGTTCAAAGGAATTCATGAAGGTGGCCAGCTTGGTAGCACTTTGTCGACCACTCCCACCAACTCCCACCAACAACAGATGTCCATTATCCTGTTTCAATACTCTGCATATCCTCGAGATATGCTCGATAGCAAACTTGAACATGACTAAGGACATGGGTGCTTTGCTGATATTGTTGTATTCCTCAAGGTAGTATTCCATCACTGTTGTCAGTTGCTCTAAGTCTGTGATTTCATCATACACTTTTACATCAGTGGCTGGGTCTGAATAGTCTCCAAAGAACAGGCTGCGAATATCATCATCAGAGACATTTTCTGTGGGTGAGAGATGACTCAGTACCTAGGGAAAAGGCAAGAATCGACAGATAATTCAAACTATTGAGAATTATTTTCCTTAAAGTCAATAATTCTTATCTACACAGTAATATTACCGTGGGAAGCACCATTTTCCAGCTATTCTAGTTATTACCTTAGTTTGGGGAAAAGAAACCCAAACCAAACAAACAAAAAAAAACCAACCCTTCACAACCCCCACACAAAAAAAACACTTAAATGGGGAATATGCTGTAAGTTGACATGCAAGTTTCCACATATGCATACTTCACAGAGACATTTCTGCTGTCAAATAAATATAGGGCAAGTTCCCAAAAGGCTTCTCAGGAAAGCCACTGCTCCTCCTGGCTCATCCAAATATTAACTTAAGCAAAAGCACAGATAAACACTGTGTTAGACTTTTATTCCAGATAGTCCTCTGTACCAACACAGAATCCTTTTGAAGTTATGAATCATTCTGATATGAAGTAATTTGTATTAACTTGACTAAGAATATGATAATATTCCATACTGAAGACCATCCATACTTTTTAAATGCAGTGATTGAAATAATTCAAAATGTGTCCCATACTAATGTAATCTCAATGTCTAAGCTTTTCTGAAAATGCATCAGTCTCATTCTCATCCCAGCACATTACCCACAAGTACCTTATTGAAGTCCTGCTTGAAGCTGTTTGTTGTTGTCTCTTGTACCATTTGAAAGAATACCTTCCTGTCCTCGTCATCAACTAAGCGATCATAGAAAACTCGGTAAACCTCATGAATCCAAAGTCTGATCAGTTTATCTCCATCCTGAAAATGAAAATACAAGAAAATCAGTAAATACAGCTCAGGCAGGATTTGTTTAAAACCAAAAGGGTAGAAACGTCCATCTGGACCCTGCTATATCTTGTACTACACCCAGTGGGAATCTTTCAATTCTAAGCCATTCAGCACATGGCCCAGCATCTGCTAACTTAACTGGATTCCTCACCTAGTTACCATCTTTTCCTTCCTGCCAATACAAACTAGGACTCTCATGTCAAAGCATTTTTCTCTACTGTATCAAATCTCCGAACACTTCCAACATAAAACAAGGAATAAATCTTTCACAGATACAGCTTATGAGCTGTAAGCCAAACTCTGCTCAAAACTGTTGCTGGTTAAGATTTCCTCTGAATAGCTTGCAGCTGTTTTTTTCTGTTTCTGCACCAAAAACATTCCCCCAGCAGAAATAAAACTTTCAATACTCCTTTATTCCTGACATTTTACTGAAAATTGATGAAAAAAGTAGGATGAAAATCAAATATATTTATCAGTATTTATTTGTTGTTTGTGACAACAGGCTGTCCTGTGCTCAGCTGTAACAGTTATTTTTCTCCATCTCAGTAGCTGGTGCAGTGCTGTGTTTCAGCTTTAGTCTGAGAACAGTACTGGTAACACACTGATGTTTTAGTTGTTGCTCAGTAATGCTTACCCTGATCAAGGACTTTTCAGTCTCTCATGCTCTGCCAGTGAGGAGGGGCACAAGAAGCTGGGAGGAAGCAGAGACAGGACACCTGACCCAAACTAGCCAAAGAGGTATTCCATACCACAGCACATCATGCCCAGTATATAAACTGGGGGAAGTCACCTGGAAGGCCCAGATCACTGCTTGGCTTGGGCTGAGTATCAGTCGGCAGGTGGTGAGCAATTGTATTGTGCATCACTTGTGTTTATTGAGGTTTTTCTCCCTTCCCTTTTTAGTTTTATATTATCTCTCCTTGTTACTTCCCTTATTATTATTATTATACTACATAGTTACTGGACTGTTCTTATCTCAACCCATGGGGTTTACATTCTTTTGATTCTCCTCCCCATCCCACCTGGACAGAGGGACAAGATGGGGAGAGTTAGTGAGTGGCTGCATGGTTCTGAGTTACCAGCTGGGCTTAAACCATGACACAGGCAAACTCAGAGCTCAATTATTCAGTCATGTTCGGTGATGAGCTTGCCATTTTTAAATGAGAGATACTGAGGCTTTTCCCACAGTTGCTTCTTTTGTATATTTAGTTTGCAAGTTCAGTAGAAGGCACTGTCTGTCTTGATGTACACGCCTTAACAGGTGGGATTTGAACCTCTGGACCCAACTGTAATATAGGCAAAGAATATTAACAAAAATGTCACCTGCCTCCTCCAGAGACAGACAAAATATATAGCAAGGTATTTGGGAACTATCCTGATTTAAAACCTTCCAGATGTACTGAATTCACAGTTTATGTATTTTGAGATGTTTACTTGCTGATATTATAAAAATAATTTACTTTTGCAACTGCTCTTTCTTACAGTTACATGATTGAACAACAACTTACTTGCAAATGAGTGTGTGGACAGAGCAGCACTCCTTTAATAACCCTGGAAAAATCCCGTAGATTAAAGACATAATGGGATTTTGAAGGAGTTGGGAGAAAATTATCAACTGCCATTTTATAAATCACCATTGTCGCTTGAACCATCATCTTGCCCAGCCTGAAGAAGGAAAAGAGATATAAATTTAACTTCTTCAGATAAATTGCAGGAGAAAAGATGTCCAAGGTGTTAGAAGAAATATGTCACATCATTACTGTCCTGGGTTCAGCTACAGCAGTCATTTTTTCTCCTTCTTAGTAGCTGGTGCAGTGCTGTGTTTTTGACTTTCAGTCTGGGAACAATGCTGATAACACCGATGTTTTTAGTTGTTGCTAAGTAATGTTTACTCTGACCAAGGACTTTCTCAGTCTCATGCTTTGCCAGAGAGGAGGGGAAGCCAGGAGGAAGCAGAGACAGGACACCTGACCCAAACTGGCCAAAGGGCTATTCCATACCACAGCACATCATGCCCAGTATATAAACTGGGGGGAGTTACCCGGAAGGCCCAGATCGCTGCTCGGGTCGGGCTGGGTATCGGTCGGTGGGTGGTGAGCGGTTGTGTCCTTTTCCCTTGTTATTCCTCTTATCATTATTATTGGTAGCAGTAGTGGTTTGTATTATACCTTAGTTACTGGAGAGCTGTTATCTCAACCCGTGGGAGTTACATTCCTTCGATTCTCCTCCCCATCCCTCCGGGAGCGGGGGGAAGGAAGGAAAAGGGGGGGAGTGAGCGAGCGGCTGCATGGTTCCAAGTTGCCGGCTGGGCTTAAACCACGACAATTACCTTAGAAACACAGGCTCAAAGCCTTTGCTGAAGTGCCAATCAGCAACTGCATTAAAAATCTTGGTTAATGTTTCATCATCAAAAGCACAGACAGATACAGTATTCAAGTGCCGTGTGAAGCGTCCTGTAATACATGCAAACACATGCAGAAAGATTTAGGATTGCTCAAACGTTTTTCTGCCTTTCAGCTAGCATATTCTAGGATTTACTGCCACTCAAACAACATCTGAATCTGGCTCCAGGTCCGTGATTTTGTTTTTGGCAAATTTCTGCCCCAACAGTGATACAAAAGAAATATAAAGTGGTTTATATTTCATGTCTGTATTTCTCTTAGAGTAACTGTTTTTAATTCGAAAAACATGAATCTCCATTACAAGAAGTCCACCATTACCCAAATTTAAATTTTAGCTCCCATTAGCCCTGTTGATTGTGATACATCACAGTAAAACTTTACAAAATCAAATATCTTATTATTTATTTTCATCTAAAAAGAAGTATAAGTCTATACACTAGCAAATTTAACAGATTCAGCTGTATCAGAATAGTTATTTTAATAAAGTCTCCTCAGAGCACACACAGTTATACCTGTGTTAGTGTTTATATTAAGCAAAGTACCATGAAGTGCCTTATAATGGTGTAGCTGTAGCTACATTAGGGTTTTACTGATGTAACTTTTCATTAGAAAATATAACCTCCCATATGGTGATATGACAGGAATCATGTACTTGCAGGCAACATGCTTGTAAGTAAATGCAGGCAGCCTATCTTAGCAGCAGGAGATACAATTTCAGAAGAGAACTGCCAGAAAGATTTGGCAAGAAGATGTATTCCCTCCCTTTTCTAAAGAATAGAAAATGGAGGAAGTGTCTGATTCTCTAATTTTAGAATTATTTTAATCATTCACAGTTTAACGAACATGAAAAACATTGTTTCTAATACTGATTAAACTCCTCTAGAAAAGGTACAGATTTGACCTTGAGAATACAGACTTCTATTTGGAGTGACCCAGCCAATGAATGTATCAGTAGGTTTACAAGTAATAGATAAACGTAGAATTTGTCATCAGCATTTGCAGTTAGATAACTGACTGCAGTTAGGTAACTATTTGCCATACTAATATATTTCCTACCTGTAATATCATTTCTGCCTCCCCCAGGTGGACCCATAGCTGAAACAAGCAGCATATCTATGATACCAATCTTGGATGTATCTTTCTTGTCATAGAAGTGACCATGATCAATCCATTGTCTGAGCAGCTCAATAGGTGGCTGGGCTCCATACACTTCCTTTGCAGGCATGTTTAGGTCATCTATGGAGAGTGCAGACATTGAATAAAACATCCCTCAATGTTTTAGAACTAGAAACTTTCTTTCAAAGCCAAGAAGAAAACAATAACCGAACTAGAAGTAAAAAAAGGTTGTGTCTTGTTATTCTTGCTTCCCATTAAACTAACCAGAATCAAATAACATCATACTTCACAGCCATATTTAGGGGTGATGGTTTAACTTAGCGTGGTTGGTGATTTTATTTTATTTCATGCCACACTACAACACTGAATTATTCTGAAGGCAACCACCATTTTAACAGTTAGAAACCTTTCAGCAGGGGGCAGTGGTAATCCTTCTTCGGATGCCTGGAAAAGAAGCCGAAGAGCACTGAGGTAATCCAAAATTACTCGTTTCAGTGAATCACTACCTTTGCCTTAAGCCAGAATTAAAATCATATAAAAACACTGAAAAACCTGTCTTACCCACAAATATTACAGCTGTTTTTCCCAAAGGTGGTCCAAAGAATCCTTTTCTTCTTCTGTCCAGCTTGGACATAATAATATCTTGAGTTTGGTTAGCAGAAGTTCTTGCAGAGAAGGTGATGAAGTTTGGCACGTATTTTTCCTTTGGAAGTTGTAGTAGAAAACTGTTTGTTATAGCTGTCTTTCCAGTGCCAGTAGGACCCACAAAAAGCAAAGGGACATTATGCTCAACATACGTTTTAAGAAAAAACATTTGTCTGGCAGTTTCAATTGTTGGAATGATCAGCTCTGATACCTGTTACACAAGAAAGTAAATAGCATATGGAAATCAAACATACAATACCTTAATCAACATGAATATTTGCAAGCAACTACAGGAAGCCTGCAGCACAAATGCACTTTTTTAGAATTCTTTTCTCTGAAAACCTGGGTCATAACAAGGTTCTGGTAGACAGTATGTCCCCACTTCTTGTTCAGTGTTTATACAGTAAATAGAACAATTAGTATCACCTGTATTATGGTTCATTTACACTGTATGAAGCCCAGAAAGAGAACTGCAGAGTTAAGTATTATTGTGCAGAGAGAAAGGAGCAGTGCTACGGAAATATTTTCTCTTCCTCATCCTCCACTTATCAAGGAAAGATTTTAGACAGCAGAATTGAATGTAATCTTACATCTCCCATGTACTTAATAGACAAGACAGTTGCAACTACAATGTAATGAAAAGCTCAACAAACACTGCTTAAGTTATCCTGAAATTTCATCTGCAGCATAGAAGTGCACAGGTCTCTGCTCTGCTACACCTCCCTTCAGTTCACAGCTACCACCAAAACGTGAGTACATCTGTTCTCAAATGGAGGGAATCCAGGACTCTCAGTACTGCTCTCCATATCTAAGGTCTCTTTCCTTGCTTTCTCTGATCTACATAATTTAGTCAAATAATTATTTTCTATAATGAAAGCTATCAATGAGAACCTTAGCCCCTGGGGGAATAACTTGCTCTTCTTTTGTGATGTAGTCACTCCACATGTTCCAGTGCCCACTGCCATGCTTGTGAAAATAGAAGTCATAAACACTTCCTGTTAATTGAAAAACACAGCATAGGAAAACCCAATGATTAAAGAATAAAAATAAACTTCAATCATTTTAGTGTGAGACATCCAACACTGTGAGATAATAAAGGCTTTCCAGCACACAAGATACCTTCCCCCCTCCACCATTATCATCACCAAATTATTTTAGGTCAGATTCAGCTACATTATTTGAGTACAACATGAGGCATATGCTACTCCTGGTTAAAAGAGCCAGGAAAGAACACCCAACTGTGCAGACCAAGTCTCAGCAGATGGTGGCTCTGCTGCAGACTTAACATCTCCCAGGCTCTCTATTCTCCCTTAAAGTCATTTCTTACAGCTTTATAAAAGGCCAGGCAAGTACAGTTATGCAGAAGCACCTTTTTCAGGGAAGATATTGTTTCTGGTAAGCTTCACACTATTAGGGCGTGGGTTTTCATCGTTCATTCCCATTAGCAAGTCCCGGTAAAACAGATCAAATTTCTTCCTGCTGTCTGAATCGATGATCCCACCGATTGTCCAAACCAGAGCAAAAAGGAAAAGCCCCTGTAGCCACAACATGATTTGCTGAGTAGACATGCTTGGCTTCTTGTCTTCCTCAGATTGCCTTATGTCTTCCTCAGATTGCCTTATTTCATCTAAAACACATTTTGAATTTTAGTTACATCTCAGGAATAACTACAAATCCCAATTCAATATGCATTTTTGCAAAAGTATTCTGAGACAAAGTCGGAGCATTGTCCTCAGAGGAACAAAGCCAATCTAGAGAGTGAGAATCTTGCCTGAGTAAAATACGGTTTACAAATAAAAATAATTGAGAAAGAAAAATATTTACAAAGGGCCCTAATAAAAGGTTCTTTTATACAGATGCTAGCAAGCAGCAAGTAGAACATATGAAATACACTCACAAGATCATGCTCAGTTTTGTAATTACACCAGTGTCCAAACGTGAAAGCTCTTATGCTAGACATATCAATACTGATCAGTGAGATCACCAAGTGCACTGTATGAACCCAACAGTAACGAATTCCTTTGGCATATCCTTGCATCTGATAACCTACATCTTATCACGGGACACAGCAGGGAAAAAAAAAATAAATAGAAAGAATAAGGCTTATGGTACTTACCAAGCAGACAAGTATAAAGTCTCATCAAGCTGTAACTCAGGTGAATAGAAGACGTTTGTACAATGGCTTTGCAATTGAAGTGAATAAACTCTAAACAGGGATCGACTAGCCACATAAACATGTCATTGACCTACCAGGAGAAAAACAAATGGCTGTAAAAAGATGCACGAGTTGCCACATTTCCCACTGTCCCTCAGTTCTCTCTCAACAAAACATAAGGCATCAGAAACTCTCCAAGTTGGCAGAGGGAAGGTAAGGAAAGGACCTGTGTGAGGCAGTACTTAAGTGATCACGAAGTCACACTGTCATTATCTGATGGTGAAAACAAGTTGCTTCTAGCACAGAGAAGTTTTCAGCAACAATTCTGTCACCCAGTTACTAATCCAGACAGCACAGCAGTCTACGGAGGCCACCACTCTGCTTTGGCAATGAGGAAATTTTTCCAACAAAACTAAAGATAAGGACTTCAACTTCCCTTAAAAAGTACAGGTCCCTCCTGAGGAACCAGCACAGACAATGTGCCACGGCATCAATTCTAGAAAGCTGGAACTGACTGGCACCTGTGGGAGTGCCACAGCATGCATGTAGATACCAACCATGGCTGGTGATATCTGTTCCATGAAACAGGAAAGGAATCACAGCCTTTTGCCAGGGAAAGGAGATGCATTAAAGGGTCAAGCTATCTGCTGCTTAAGGAGTAATATATTGCTTTGATGAACTAAAAAAATTGTCAACTAAAAAGACTAGCTCTTCTAGTCTTGGTACTTCTTTATAATTTAGTCCTAATTTCCTGCAAAAACTCAAAGGGTGTCTTGTGAAATCACAGAAAGTTTTCTCCATCTCCAGTCCTATTGTGGACAGTTCTTATTCTGATTCTTTTACTAGATTTTAATGCCTAATTAAAGAGAATTTTAATTTTTATTAAATTAAAAGCTGATTCTCACCGACACCTACTTTTATTTGCATCTACGCTGAAGATATACAATACACAACACAGAGCTCTCATTTATGCAAGTAATCTAGCACACAAAAGACTATTAAGCAAAGATTCATAAGGTGATTAAGGCTTTGAAAATCAAGCTAATAACAACAACAACATTTTTTAAGCTAAACTCTAAATGTCTTAGAAGAAGGATGAGTTCAAACCATTTTGAGTCTTCAAGTTTTTCCCACGCTGCATTTGTAATACTCACAGTATCTCCAGCTCTTAGGCACTTCCCTTGTGACATTTGACATTCATCACTACAAAATAGTTTACAACAGCCTCTAGGAGATCTGGGACCCTCGAAATCATGAAAGTACTTCAAAAAGTTTTGATTCTGCATGCCTGCCTTCAAGTGGGCAAACTGTGAACATCACCTTAAAGTTAATCAGATCTGTGTAAAACATCAAATCTCGCACCAGCTCTCGGTGTTCTTCCTGCAGGTTTGGAGGCAACGTATTCATGTAGGAATCCTTCAGTGGCTTCCAACCTAACTCTTGCAGGTCCATATAGATCATACCACACCTGGGAAGAACAAACAGCTATGGTACAGGAATATATGTGCAAGGCAGGACAGTTGAAGGTTGAATGCTTTCACATTACCTGCTGACAGTTGCTGGAGATGCCTCCTCTAAGTCTGCTGGCTCAAAGATTAAACTCATTTTTGAATTCATCTGAATTATTTCACCACTCATTAAGCATAGCTAGAAGAAGAGCATCACATAAACATGATCTAGTGATGTCAGTGCTGATCATCCAGCCAAAGCAATGCCTGTCAAAATCACTTATTCAACTTAGTGTCACTCCTCATGCACTTGTTTCTATTCTTATAGCACATGATATTTTCTAACCTTGTCTCAACTTTTCCATGTGTTACTGTAATGGCTTTCAGAGACACACAGAACAATGCTCTGTCTTTAAATAACTCTGCAAGGAAAAGCAGTTATGACCTGCAGCTTTTTTTTTTTTTTAATATTAATTTATTCACTAAGTAATTTAAGTAAGTTCAGTAAGAAACAGCTTAATATCATCTACTAAACCCACTCATATAATTGTGGGAAAAAACAATGCTTTTAATCACATTAGCCTTTCCTGAGCCTCACACCTCCTTTGACTAACATGGTAACAATATTCCTACTGCTAAAATAAAGTATGCATATTCAAGAACGAGGTTACTGGCAAAAATCAGGCTACCTTTTTATTATCATCCAGCACAGTGTTCATGTTCTCTATCCAAACTGCATCCACTGGGCCATCAAAAATAATCCACTTCCGATCATCTGTGGTAGAAGATGCTTGTTCCCTGAAGGTATTTGCAAGAACTCCATCGTTCCATTCATGGCTTACAGGATCAAAACTGCCATACAACTGTCCCATAGTAATTGCTTTGGGATTAATAACCTTGTATTCAACAGCAAACTCATCCATGGATTTTGCTGTGTAAAAAGACAAATAGATGAGCTTGAATATTTGCCAGGTTAGTTTCATTCAACAACTAAGTACAGAAGAAGAAGATTCCTGAGGATCCTACTTTAGCTGCCCAAGGCAAAAAACCCCAGATATTTGGCAGCTATGTAGTTGTAAATAAGAAATTCTGTTACTTGTACAAGGAAAGTACAAAGTCCTATGTGCAAAAGCACATGAAAAAAGAAAAAGCAGAGGAGAATAGATTTTATATGTTTACGGGAGGTACTTACAATCTCCCTAACAGGGCTAGTTTTTTTCAAGACTTATGCAGAAATACAATGCTCAAAAAATTCATAAAAGCATAAACACATTCGTATGTTTTATTGTTCCAGTAAATGCAGAAAAAAATGATATCAGACAAATACATCACACAAAAATAATTCAATGATTAGAAACTTTCCAGCTGAGAAAGCAGAATACAGGACAATTAACAACCTGGACATATCTCTGCAAAGGAAAAACATTAGTCATAAAATCAACTTAAGGAGAAGTTTGTGGCTGAACAATGTTACCTGCACACAAATCACCAAGGGCTCCAGCTAGCACTTTGTAAGCAGAGGTCTTGCCACTCATAGCATCTCCAACAATCATGAAACCATGGCGCACCAGCATCATTTCATATATCTGTATCAGTGGCAAGAGAAATCAAAGATTATCAGTGAAGATAACATGAAGGGATTGAAACTACAATTCTGAGGATCTGTCATACGGTTGGTCCCACAGAGGCTGACTTTGGACTGCAAGAGTCACCCCGTAAAATCCTCCCAGAACTCAAGTCAAAGCCCTCAAACAGAACACCTTCAAGTAGAAATAGACCTGTAAGAAGAACCCCTAAGAAGATTTTTTTAAATCTCAGGTTAAGGCTGATACTTTCTGGTTTATCTTAAGCTGCAAAGCAGTTAATACTACCCTTATTTAAATGAAAGATAAAGCATGCTTTACAAAGCAGCATAAGACAAGTCTCAACGTAAGCCATAAAGTCTGAACTGCTGCTGTAGGGCCCTTCATAATCCTGCCCCAGGCCACAGGCTTTTGCCCCAGTCATCACAGTGTCATCAGGCTGCACAAATCACAAAAAAAAACCAACAAAAAACCCAACACCCTACCACCACCCAAACAACATTAAGCATTCTTTGAAAGGTCACCAATACTAGTAAATGGGAAACAACAAGAGCTGGAGGTGAAGCATAAGCAGGACTGACAAACATCACCCCTTTCAAGACTTCTCAAGGAGACTGTGAGCAGAACTGGGAACAGGGCCTGACTCCTAGTCCAGAGCTATGTACCCTAAGCTACACTGCAACAGATTCAGTTTAATTTTCAACCCTGAACCATAAGACCAACAATGTGGCTGCACACATTAGCTTCTTCACAGGCTGGCTGAATTAAAAGATCACTATCAGCAAAGCAGGCTTTTAATCCATGATGTTTTACTCAGTAAAATGTCTGTAATATTCTATCAATTGATTATGGGAACTATAGCTATTTGTTCATGACAGACAGTGAATGAAGAGTGTTCCTGCTCTCATAATTCTTCCCCAGAATTATGTGAAAATAAACCTGTATAATTTTTCCAATGAACCACGGAACTGGTTGAAGATCCATTTTTATTATATTTTCAGTTACCGCCTTGATAAACAGGTCATAGTCTGGTGTAGGAAGAACCACTCCAGGAAACAGGTCAGATATGATGCCCTGTTAAGGAAAGGCAGAACAGAACACTATTTAAACACAGATTACAAAAAGTGAAAATTCCAAATGCACAAGAATTTACACGTAAAACACTATTCTTAAAGATAACAGGATTTTAAGCGGAAATGTCCTCAGCTGTACAAAACTAAATTCTAAGCAAACTGTACCTATGAAAGTATTCTGAATGCATGAGACAGAAACAAGTGCCTGCACTTTCCATTCAGATTTACCCCAAGTAGTATTACAGGAAAGGATGTCAAAGTGGTGGAAAGAATCTCAGTGATTAGATAGAAGCAATGACTCTGTGTGTGCTTTTATCCTACATTTTAGATCTTTAATAACTGATTGCTTTGCAGTTTAACATAGTCTCTATTTTCTGTTAATGCAGTATGCAAACAGAAACGTAATCGTTTTCAACTCTGACTTCAAATTTCTAATTGATCTTAATTTAGTTGTCCACATCTCTTTCGCAGCACAAAGTCAGAATGTAAACTTCAAAGAATGATGTGCACAAATGAAAGAGCACAAAGTGACTTCTAGCAGGATATCTTATGAAACAATTTTATAGAATAACTTAAAAAGGCCCCATTGAAACTTTGTTTTTCAAAATAACAGAACCAAAGAGTGCATCCAGACCAGTGGACTGAAATAATTCTACACTAATATGGCAGCATTTAGATCAAACTGTTCTAAATTAGGAAAATGACCTGTTTCTGTAGGTTCTTATAATGGACCTCATCATCACAAAGTTTAAAACACACTAGCCTGATAGCTTACCTGAAACAACGGCACATCCTGTGCCAAGAATTTGGCCAAGTTAACATCCATCAAAGCCCGAAGTAACAATACGCTTTCATTTTCACTTGGGTATTTCAGTTTTAAGTTTCCTGCTGCTGTCAGGACAGATTTAACAGCACGCATTCCATAATCATAGTGATGCTGAGATGACAGCTGCTCAGAGCACAGACGATAAGTAGCAACAATTTTCTGGGCAAGACTGTGGATATTAAAATATCACATGTAGAGCGAAAATATCTCACCATGTAAGGAAAATAATTTAAGTACCTAAATACGCAAAGTAATTGCAGTGATTATCAGACATATCAGCTGTTAAGATGGTCCAAAACACCTAGGAAGTAAAACTGTAGATTACGCCATGCCAGACATAATGTGTGTGCCATTTAGGAATTCTGGTTGATACTGTGATACATTTTCCCAATGATCCCATGGAGAGGTGCATATCCATCAACATGAGGCAGTAAATGAGAACTGATGATAAAGCAGGAGATCAAAAAATACTTTCTGGAAAAACAGAACATGGACAGCCTTCCAGAATTATACACCTCAAACACACTTACATGTCTCACAGAGGAATGAGGTATATCAGACTTAACTGAGGTAGAAAATTCAGCATGTCTTACCTCCGAGAGTCCAAAAATCCCATTGAATAAAGTGAAATTTCTCCAATCAAAGCATAATCTGGAACCATCATGGCAACTGTTCGGAACAGTGCCTGTAAGAAAAAAAGTATGATATAAGCTTAGACTATGGAATATGGTCATAACTTGTGCCTGTTTTTTAACAGTATCTCTCTGTAAATTCATGAACTAGAATTCAGGAATCATCTGAGAACTATGAGATTGCATTGAATGCTATTCTAGCCTAGTCTAGTCTAGTCTAGCCTATTCCTATCTTAACAGGTTCAAGAGGTCTGTGCTAAGGACTGCAGGAACATGTGTTTAGGAAGTCACAATCCTAAAGAACTATTAATAAAGGAAAAGCGAGGTGTCATTCATCTCACTTTCGTAACAGACAAACTAGCACATGGTGTGGTTAATTTCTTGTAAAAGGTCATGCAAAAAATTGTGGAAAAGCTAGGAAAAGAACTGGGACCATACCAGTTTCTCTGCAGTGTCTCAGCAACTTGCAAAGTTTTACTAAATTTAAATTGGGATTTGGACCACCAAGCCATTTTAAAACAGGCAAATTTCTACTTATAGAAAGCACAGTTAAAGCTGTGAACTGGTATCAATATGATTGATTGACTAAGACCTTTCACCTGTGCATTTTGTACTATCCTAAACACTTATTAAAGCTTAGCAAAAAGCACAGGAGAATGCACTTGAATGGATTATCAGTTGTGCTGGTTTCAGCTGCGTCCCCTCCCAGCTTCCTGTGCACCCCCAGCCTACTCACTGGTGGGTGGTGTGAAAAGCAGAAAAGGCTTTGACTCTGTGTAAGAACTGTTCAGGAATGATGAAAACATCCCTGAATTACCAAGACTGCTTCCAGCACTAATCCAAAACATAGCCCCATACTAGCTACTATAAAGAAAATTAACCATCCCAGATAAAAACAACATATCAGTGTGTTATTCGAATGCCATATACCTTTTCTTATTACAATTAACCAGAAGCTGCAAATTCTGTATAACTGCTACAAGAAATCAGGATTCCAGATTTACCTTCAGATTATCAGGCAGCTCTGCCCTTCCAGCATACCCAGGATTCATTGTGATAAACACAGCACATGTTGGATTAAGAGAGATCTCTGTCCCTTCAAAGACGAATGTTTTGAGTTTGCGAATAATAGCTTGCTGGATGCTAAGTATTTGTTGGGCAACTACAGATAATACTTCAACCTAATACAGACAGAACAGATGGGAAAACATAAGACACTTGGAGACAATATTTTTGTTTATATATTTTGATGGCTATATTTGCATTCCTCCAGGAGAAAATAACTCTCTGTCTTATAACTAAGCCTAAATATTAGATGCCTATTGAAGTGCGTCTCTGCAAGTTAGTGCCAGTAGTCACTGCTCTACCAATTTAGGAGATAACAGAGGCTTCTGAAAGCCTCCACAGGGAAATACCCTGTGTCTGAATATAGGCATCTAAATTAGGTGGACAGGAACTCCCTCTGGAGGCCTCCAAAAGCACTTTCACCTCATATGACAATTTAGGCACTTAAGAAAGACTAACTCAGTGCCCAAAAGTGAGGGTAAACATAAAGAGTGGGTAAGGCAGCCTAGTGCAGATCCTCAGCACTTCAAAGTATCAAGGTAACAGAATACTGGAAAATGAGAATGTTAATACCTGAATTCATTAAAAAACAAGTTACAGCAGACAAATGGAGAAATTACGGTGTTAATGATACTAAAGCATACAAACTATGTCTTCATGGAATTTCCACATATACTAGTATTTATTTAAATGTAACTCCATCAGAATAACAGTAAAACTTATCCAAATAACAAATCAAAATAAAACCAAAAAAACAAACAAACACAAAAAACCAAACAACCAAAACCAAAATAAAACCCAACTCAGAGCAAGATCAATGAGGGGATTAGATGTGTCTGGTTACACAGCTAGTTAACCAAGTCACCCAGTGATCACAGGAATCCCTTCACTGGGATTTGCCTGTCTTGTGCTTAAGACACATAACATATATATTATAGATACGTAGATAGATGAATGCATCCCCACAGCCATGGTTTGGTTTCTCCAGAAAAGACAGACAGTTCTTTCCCTACATACAAAAGAGGGAAATGCACAGAAACATCTTTTCCAGCTAAAATAACCCAGAACACAAGACTTCAGCGATACAGCACAGGTAGGCATGTGCTCCTACAGCAGGCAGCTGAGCACGTATTTCTGTGTCAATGATTATTGAAACAAAGCTGCTACACCACAACTAAAAGGTAGAAAATTAGCAATAATGCTATCATGTCTAAATCTAAAACTTCTTGTGTCTTAAATTAAAGCTTTATAATTTTGTCTGAGTTAAAACATTACCTCAATTCTATTGAACTCATCAAAACAGGCCCATGCACCAGACTGTGCCAGCCCCTTAAAGAACTTGCCCATTGCCTTGTAATCAAGACCATCGGAGCAATTGAAGACCACACACTACAACAAAAAAAATACACAGAGACCATCTCTCAGTATTAACACAAAATCCACCATAAAATTCTTAGCATCTAAAATGGGAAGGGATTATTACTGCTAATTTTGGATTACAACACTAGGATGCTATATAGACACAGTCCTAAGTACGTGCTTCTTACCAACTATTTCTGAGAATAATGAATAAAATCATAGAATCATTTAAGTTGGAAAAGAACTTAAAGATCATCAAGTCAAACCATAAACTAATAGGTACAGAACAAGCATAAGAATGGCATTTTAACAAATATCTACATATCCAAACATAAACAGCACGAAGAAGCTTGTATTTTGCTACCTGCTTAGCTAGCGCTTTTGCTAGATCTTTTGTTGTTTCTGTTTTGCCAGTCCCAGCAGGTCCTTCTGGAGCACCACCAAGATTTAATTTCAAGGCACCCATTAATGTCCTACATAAACAAGAACACAGGCATTAGAAATAGTAATCTTTAATTACTGACCGTTTCTGAAGGGATGGATAAGTATTTTCCTATACAGGTTCCCCTGGAAATTATTTACTTGCTCCCTACTGACTTTGCAGCTTGCCCTAAAAAAACAGTATTGTCCTGTAACTGATTCCTAATTGTGGAAGGTCACATTCACCCACCTGGCCTACAAGGCATGTCAAGACTTTGTGTTACCTGCATCCACCGTGGTTGAGGATAACCCTCAATTACACAAGCAAACACACAGTGCCACAGGCAAAATGGCATAGTTCTCAAAACACACATTTTCACCAAGAAGCACTCATCATGACAAGAACTTGAAGCTGGCTTTATAAATTAAATCAATCTTTAGAAATGGCAGAGAAAGCATAAGGGTTGGTTCAGAAACCTGGGAATCACTGGGCTCTCCAAGTGATTTTCATACTAAAATGAGATCCCTGTTAACACTGGAGTGATTATTTTACGAAAGCCTCATTCAAAGGCTTTGCCAGCAAAAGCAGCTGTTAAATTGTGCTCAATGGAGTCTACTTGCTCATTGCTTGCACTGAAACTACATCTGGCACAACTAACTGCACAGTGTTAGTTTAGATTGAACTAATCCTAATGACAACAACCCTGGTTTACAGCTAATGCACCAGCCACGTGGCTGGCTCTTTAGCACCACTGTGAATGCATAAAGACCAAGCATTTGCCAGCATAGGCACTAATGGGCACTTTACTACAAGTGCCTTGTACACAGTGGTGAGTTCACAGCTCAGAGCTCCAGTAAAATCTTTAACATCCTCAGCATATACTTATCTAGATATATTATAAAGCGAGTTCTTAAAACTTCAGGCCTAAAATTACCTGTGACTCCAGGACTCACCAGAAGTGAAATACCAAATGCCTTCAAATACTTCAACATTGGAAGATGAAGCGTTTACGTTTCAACCTCTTGCAAGCAAGTGGAGAACAGGAAGCTAACTGAATTCACACATCTGTGAAGGGCTCTATAATTACCTCATTTCTTTTACAGGCAGGCATACCCTACCTGCATGTCTTATTTCAAATAAAATAATTGACCAGTGCTGACAACGCTTTTCAGAAGCACATTCTTGGACACAACAGAGACTGTTGTTCTTTAAACAATGACATGGGGTAGAAACCTATACATCGTAAATGTTTTACCATATTTGGGCAAAGAAGGTATATAAGTTTTGCCTCCAAAACCTACAGGAAAACCTTAGCTGCTGGGTGCCTACAATTATAACAAATGAAAGTAAATACAGATCAGCCCAAAAACTGAAAACATTATTCACAGACAACATGACTTTACCTGTAACATCGATCTGTTAGGGGGGTTATAACCAGACGTTGACAATTGCCCAGATACTCATAACCATATTTGGCTTCTGTTGTAATCATTCGCACTATTACATTCTTCTCCTCCCAGTAGTATCTCAGCTGAGAAATCCACTGGAAGTCATTCAGATCTGTGATTTTGTCTTCAACCAATTTTGCAACCACATCACGAGCTACAGAGTAAGAGACACGTTATTTCAAAAACCATAAACACTTCTACTATGTTAGTTTACTTAAAACAACAAATAAGTAAACATTTACTTATAGGTATGTAAAAGTAAATCAACATGTAAAGTAGCAGGCTGGCTTTAATCTTAGGAAAGAATCTGCACCTGTTTAGCACAGAGAATCAGCTTGATTTGCCCTAGATTCCAGTGCCTAAGCAGACAGGAGGTAGTTGTGCAGGACAGCCCAATCTGCATTTGCCCAAAGACAATGTGCAAGAACTGTGTAAAGGTTGTTTCAAGTTAGAGAAAGCTTTTTAGCTGGCTCTTTCAAACAGTTCACCCAACTAATGATACCAGCACTGCCCAGATGTAACAGGAAGACCAGAAACTGCACATTTACCATGCACATCAATAACAGTAAGAGCTCCAAGTGTCAGCCGGGCTCCACTGGACAACTGTCCTCTCACTAACTCAACAATGTCCCCAATTTGTTGATTGCTCTTCTCCAAGAAATCCTGTCACAGAAACAGAACACAGGCATTAAGGTAATGCTGTTGCTAGCAGTTCCTAAGCTCCTGGAGAAACAGGCAGACAGGAACCTCATGAAGTTCAACAAAAGGAAAAGTCCTCTATCTGGGAAGGAAGAACCTCATGTGCCAGTACACGCTGGTGGCCAACCAGCTGGAAAGCAGCAATGCAGAACAGGACCTGGATGCTGGTGAACACCAAGATGAACATAAGCCATCAATGTGCCCTAGACACAAAGAAAAGCAACAGCATCCTTGGCTGCATTAGGAACAACACTACCAAGCATGTCACAGGAGGTGATGATCCCTTCCCTCTTGCCAGCACTGCTGACAGCACATCTGGAACGTTGTGCCTGTTTTCAGCTCCCCCATAGAAGACAGTCTTGGGCATACTAGAGCAAGTTTGTTAGCAACCTGGTTTAGTTGGCCCTGCTTTAAACAAGGGTTGGACTATGTGATGTTCAGAGATCCCTTGTATCCTGTGATTCACTGTTCTGTGATTCTTTCTCATTTTTCGTAAGCTATGGATTGTTCAGGACATTTTCTTTGAAAGTAGTAAATATTTTCAGTTCTGACTGGATATGTAGAATAAGATCTTCAACTGGTATTAAATAACAAAGGCAAGTTAAACTAAGACAATCAGTAAGGATACAGAAACAAAGAGCTAATATTAAAGTGTTCTATTTGATGTAAAGTTTATTAAAATTTTTCTGTTCCCACATTTAAAAGGCCCAAACACTCTACTGACAGAATTAATTACCAAAAAAATCCTATTCTACCTACCTCAATTAGGATCAGACAAAAGCCTACTGAATTAATCAGAAATTACTTCCATCACTTGAGCATGCATTTGATTAGCCTCAATGAAGCAATACTTAAAACTATTATGATGACAGAGACACTACAAACACATAAGAGACTTGGCTGATGCACCTTTATCAGTCCAGGAGAACCTAGCAATAACCAGGCAAATAACTGCACCATTCTGTCAGGAGAAATCTCTGCCTGCATGTTTCCATGAAGCTTCACATGTAAAGACAGAAGTTAGAAATAAAAATATATAGTGTTTAACAACAGTCTATCCCTTTTTGTTTGGTACTTTTACTTATACCAGTATTACTTGTAACTAAAGTAATACTATTTCCTTTAGTGGGACTTCTCCTGATACACGTCAAAGCAAATGAGAACAAGCCTGCACTAAGACACAAGAAAAAATGAAATAGAAAATTAAGCACACTATATGAGCAAATTGTAATACAGCATGAGTGAGGATCTTCTTTGCTAGAAGGCGTTTTTTATTACTTAATCAGATTTTAGTGCTTAGAAATATAAAGGTAGAAGAAAATCTTACTGGTAAAGTTCCTTTCCTTATAGCCTCAGACACTTCTTCTGTCCAGAAAATGGATGAAACACAAATAACCACCTGTCCAGGCCACTGAAGTACCCATGTTTTTCGAGGAACCTTAAACAAAAAGATCCATGCCAGACTCAGGAAGTTTTATAAACACATTAAACTATAGGCACTGACAAAAATCACTTGTCCAAATGTCTCATGTTGTAAATAAATGAGAATCAACACGGAAAGCTTTAATACTTTTTCTTCAAGAGGTTCAGAGTTAAAACATCCCTGGTAGTACTGAACAAGGAGAGCTGGTTTTCACTCAGCTTCAAATGAATTTCCCTGGCTAAGAATTTCAGCAACCTGTTCACATACAGTTGCTTGTGAAATCTATTTTATTCTATAATTCAGGAACAATTACCTCAATATATCCTCCTATGCCATCTTCAATAACTTGTCTTACACTGGCCAGCATCATTTCCTCTACTTGCAAAAGCCATTTTTCCACCATGCCCTTCAAAAAAGAAAACCAGTTAAGAGTCAATACACATTTCCTGATTATATTCCTCTTGAAGGACAAATTCTTGGAATGTGCTTAAATATGCTTTCTACTGATCTGGGTGTGGTATATAGGAGGAAAAAAGGTTGAAATTTCCCAAATTCTGAAAGGCAGTACTGTAGTTTAACACTGTCTGAAGGCAGGCATATCAAGCTAACTAAAGACAATCCAGTTCAAGAAATAGCTGGATATGTTTCATATAAGCACAGACAAACATGCAGATAACATATTTCATGGTCAGTCAAGCTTGGTCATTTTAACCCAGGGCATTTTTCCTCCAGGTTTTATTCCTGGAGAATTAAGAGAAAAAGGGGTATCTGTTAACTGACAACATGCCCCACCTTTCATCTCTTTTTGGTTATCATATAACAATTCAGCTCCATACATTCACATTGAGAATAGCAGAAAAAGATGGAACTGAGATACTTTTCGAAACTTACAGTGCTACTATTTCTACTCAGATCCCTTTTGAACTAATGTTCCGATTCTTCACTGCCAGCCATTCATCATTTCCCTCATTTTTCTCTGTTTCAGCCATGCCGTGGAATGTTAGATACATATGTATATAGAGAGCTTGGATTATATATATGTGTGCATATATATCTTATCTATCTATCTACATCTTAAAAGCAGTAGGTTTATAAAGCTGCAGAAAAGTCCCTAGAGGAATTTACCACAAACTTGGTATGTCTTCTCCTTTTTCTAGGAAATCCTTTTTGTTCTAGAATACCAGTCTGCACTCTCACTTTCTAAACACCTTTCATGATTTGATCTTAAGTCTTTTAACATTCACCAAAACCATACACTTAGGCAAAGTATTAATTTAATATCATATAGTAAAATATACATATACTTCTTTTTTTTAATTACTTTTGCATTTGCTGGATAGATTTTATCTATGAAAGGAACAATTTCTTTCTCTGAACTGATCATGCCTACGATCTCCAGCTTGTCTATGAATTCCAGTTTAGCAATTCCTTCAAAACACTTCTTTAAATGTGGTTGCACTCGAAGGGGATCCTTTGTTTCAGACAGTATTTCAAGCAGCTCATCATTAGACAGGAAAAAGAATCTGTTAGAAAAATAGAATTAATGAATATGCACTTTCAAGGAATCAAAATTGTCATTAATAATCTATTAATGCAAGATAGATGTAATTGGTTTTATGTTGCTTAAGACACTAGTACAACAGAGAGGAAATTATTATCTCAAATTCTTTGTCTTAAGCAATTTTGAACGTCATAAAACTCATCACATCTGTTTTTTCAGAATTTCAATATGACCATCATTTTATGCAGAGGAAGAAAGAAGGATTCTTAAAATCATAAAGGAAAAAATAGATATATCTATGCAGCCAGTAAGTACCTTGTAAAAACACAGAATTCTATTCCTCATAATCATATATAACTCTTATGCATCACACACCTCTCCACAACTAAGGAGGGTTGGGCAGAGAAATAACTGCAAATCAGCCATGGGAAGGTAGCAAGTTCCTTCAAAAATGCCCTGTAAGTGATAATGTCTTTCTAATCATAAGTTTATGCTGTCCTAGATAGATTTTGCCTCCACACTTCTGCCTATCCCTGGCATTGCAAATTCAACTGGAGCTGAGGCAAACTAATTACATCTGAAGAAAACAACAGGTTTTCATTTTTGTTGCATGGGACTGTCCCCCACATGTTTATACAATGAGACTTTTCAGTTCAATAGAGATGGTTTGAAAGAGCTTTTGGCTTTTCGCCTCTGACTTAGGCTTATTTAATTAATTTACCTTGGGAAAAATAATCTTTTCTTCTCCAAGTAAGTATTCAACCCCTTTTGAATATCTTCTAAGAGGGCATTTGCTTCCTGAAGTCTCTCTAACATCATGGGTTGTTCAGTTGCTACAAGTACCTTTGTGTTTTTCACCTTCGTAAAAACAAATACACAGTAGAAACTGCTGAAAGTTGCAATAGGTTTGTACATTAAAATTATTATCATCAATCACATATATTGCAGGAGGCTAAAAAGCTATATATCCCTCTCTGTAGTGTGCCTTCGTGTTGTTAAATATGTATGCATTATTTGACAGTTCTGCTTTTCAGACTGTCATTTTTACCAATTTGAACTTTACAGATAATAATGCAACAAGGAAATATACACAGGAGTTAAAATCTTTGGCACTTGCTCCTGTGTCTTGAGCTTGCTACATTTTTCTCCATTCACAAATTAGTTCTGTCAAACAGAGTTCTTGCCATCTAGGTCACATTTTTCATTTCTGGTAACACTCCTCTTAACTTGAAAGAATACACCTATTTCTGAATGGGCTTCATCATTCATGGAGTCTAAGCTGTTAGACAGATTTCAACTTCTATTTACTTCTATTATTTCAACACCTTTATTACACAATCACACTCTCCAAATGTTTTTTGACAAATATCTCAGCTTACACTACTAAGTCCTCTTACCCAACTTCTTAGTTAGGGAACTTAATAGGATAGCCAATTGCACTTGCAATCCCCATCATCTTATCCTGACACACTGCCATCTCAGTACATATTCACCAAAGTTTCAAACATGCCACCACATATTAGAGAACAATAATATGCAAAAAAAATCCATTTATTGCTCTAATAATTTAAACAAAATACACATTTTATTTTGCTTGAAAGTCTAACGTAAAATCTAACTGTATCCAAAGAAGAAGAAAGCTTGAAGCAATAATGATATAATCAACCACTTTTACTGCAAGATTAGATTTTGGTGGGCTTTAGTAAAGGATTTTCTATGCCGTATTGTACCTTCTTGTGACTTAAATACAAACATCTAACTCCAGAAAAGCCTGTATATTTTCATGATAGTAATAATCATGTTACCAGATGTGCATAAAAATACATGCTTGATTAAAGGCAAGCACTTACCACTTGTGCCATAATGTCCTTCCAACATGAATCCACAATCCCAAACTTTCTGCCCTCTTCAGGCATTTGAGCTATAATGTCTTCTGAACTAAAAATTGGTTCCAAATACAACCATGTTGCCTGACATTTTAACCAGCTATCTACAATATCTTGTATTAAACACAGTTTAGCTTCCCAAGCCTGTAATGAAAACATTTAATATTTAAGGAAATTTCTATCAAGAAATAATCTACACTGAGGAATCAAAGAGCATGAATTGCTTGGCTTCAAAGGAAACAAACAAACAAAAAACAAGAACAATTTTAAAGGTTAAAAAAACCCCAACCAACACTAATAAACATCTGAATATTTCTTACAAACAACAGATTCATTCTTTTGCTAGCAGTTTTTACAGCAAGTTGTGAGAGAACTGCTTAAGAAGTGCAGACATGAGCAGCATCCCAGAATCTCTTCTTTTAATTCTACTTGTGTACTTTCTATCTTATCATCAATGAAAGGATAAAAGCTTTATAAGGTATTCAACAAACTGAGTAAATGTCAGTTCACAGGCCCTATAAAGAGTGGGTTCAATCTCTGGACCCCCAAAAAAGCTATTTCAGGCAACTCTAGAACAAATCTGTTATAAAAATGGACAAAGATTCTTTCTGAATAAAAATTTCAGACAGCATTGCTTTTCTGACTTCAACAGCCTACAGTGTAAGAGATACGCAAGCGGATGTATTGCAGGAAGAAAACACAGCCAGCCTGTATCGTTCATTATTCTGCAAGAATTATATGAAGATTGTTAAGATAGCTCTATATTAATCCTTCCATTTCATTTCACCAGCTCTACTGGAAAGCAGAACTCAGCTTTACCTACACTTTGGCTAAAGTCCACGGGAAATAATAGAATTTAGGTCTTAGCATTGCTTACAAATCATCACTATTAGGCCACAAACAGTGGTATTAAATACTGATGGGAAAGAAGTCTGCTTTCTGCATAGCCTTCATATTAGAAATTCATCATCTTTAACAAAGATCACATCTTTACAAAATAGTAGGACAGCTAAAAAGACTTTGAAACTTCTGTGGATCAATACCAGGGGATTAGAAATAAATTATCTCCCATAACTGACAGACCCATGTCTTTTTACATAATGCAGCAGGATTTGTTTAAATCAACTGACCCATTCCCAAGACATTTAACAAAAACCTGATGTTTAGAATGCCTAGATTAGAGAATTTATTTAGCTGTAAAGCAAGCTTGACATACCTTTGTCTGGAAACCATTAATTCAAAGCTCTTGAAGAAAAATACGAATGTGTGTTCTTAGAAACAGCTTAAAACTATGTAACTTCTTATCATGCCAAAATAGCTTAAAGCGCTTCAGGATAGCATATTATGAGACATGCAAGTTCAAACCAGCTTTTCCTTACCCGGCATTCAGCTTCTATTGGTTTGATGAAGGGAGAGCCACACATTGTCTGAACCTTAACAATGTGATCATCCAGCAAAAGCTGGATGTCATCAACTGCTGACAGGATGCTGGTGTCCTGTAAATACATCACATTTTGATAAGGCAAATAGCAGTTGCTTTATTTCACCACTCTTCAACCTCACACTCATTCAGCTTCCTATCTCCGCCTTCTCTATGATGTCTGAATGTAGGAAAGTAGCAAGGCATTGAGAAAGCCTGCAACATGTTTGAAGATATGAAATGCTGTCTCCCCTATACATCTCTGCGTCAAAGGTCAAGAGATACATTGTTTTGTGAATGGGAACCCAGCTGGTGACTTCTGACTCAATCTTTTGCACTGTGGTTTTTGTTTCTTCGGGGCAAGGTAAAATTTCACTACTGGTCCAGCTTCCCATACAACACTGGAGAAGCTCTCAGGCTTACAGATTTCTTAGGATGAGTATGTTGAGATGACAAGTTATCTAGATACTTAGGTCCAAATATAAGGATATATAGTAATATATGTATTTGCCCAGTCTCTGGGATATGATACCACTTTCCATCATGCCACAATGAATCAGCCTTTAATACTCCCTCTATTATTTCTCAGTTAGCATTCAGAATCAAAGTAATTCTTTTCCACAATATATACACATAGATTTGGTGTTTACTCACAGTATCTCTGTACTTCGTCAGACCAAACTGCACATTAGCCCACTCTTGTTTCATTTTCTCTATTGCTTTTGCTAAGGAATATTCCTTACTTGCAGCTGCTCCAATAGGTTCCAGCCTAAATTGAAATGAAACACATCTTTGAAATGTTTTGAAACACAGCTGGAGAGCCAAAAGAAGCAGTCGTAAACAGAGCTGTATATCAGACTACATTTCATATGAATTTGTTAATAATATCATAGAATCTCATTTAAAGGAACACTTTTTGCGCTTTCAGGCTCACCAAGTTAGAGATATTAACAGTAATTTGAAGATGAATACAGACAGAAATTTCTGAATGTGCAAATTAAGTGGTTTAGGAATAAGACTCTGGGTTTTGGTACCTCTGCTACACAACAACTGATAGTTGATAAAAAGAGTTGAGTTTACAGCATGTTCTTACAGCACACAAAAAAATCCCAAACAAACTAGTATTTGATATCTGACATATGAAATACAATGACTGTCTGAAAAGTAAGAATTCTAAATTCTAAAAAGCGAGTAAGTTTCTTACTTATCAATATATTTTGAAAGTCCAAAATCCAATATGTTTTTAAGAGTAGTAGTTTCATCAGGTCTAATCTCACATCCTACAATTTCACTAATCTGAAAATATAGGAAAAAATAAACTTTATTATCAGGATGCATGCTTGTAACAGACTTCTCAAACACAGGAAATAAATGCTAAGTAAGTATTAATACAGCTCCCTAATTTGCTTTTCCACCATAAATTATTAAGAAATGAAGATCCTGCCTGTACCATTACAAATTTCAAAACTGGATCTATCATGTGACAGGATAAAGGATCTTCCTATTGTGAAATACAGAACTATTACTGTATTTCACAGAACGGAATATACGGAATAGTATATTGAACTGTCAGTTTCTGTGGCAGAATACTTCCACGATTAAAGCAGAATTTAAAGTACCTGCTCCCAGTGTCTCTCCCTCATTCCACGATTGCAGGCAACTGACAGGACAGGAAGATGCAGTTTAAATTTATCAAGCTTAAATTTCATAGTTTCTGCTAAGCGTCTAGGCCCAGGCAGATCTGGAAAACTCTTAGTGAGCTTGTACATAGTCCTCCACATATTTCCAATTTCTTCAGTTATTTCCTCAGCATTCAGTGTCTGGATTGATCCTGAATACAACAGCATAAAAATGCACAGCAGGCACATCAGCCCAAGTAGATTTCCAGGGTGGTTTATTTACTGGTACTTATAATCATTCTCCTTTAACTGGAAATCAATCATGTTACAAAAAGTTATCTTACTACAAAATCCAAGTCAACAACTGTATTTCACACTGCTTAACAGCATTTTTTTATTGAAAATTATTTTCTCACAACTATCAACCTTCACACCAACAGAGACTCTCTGATTCCAATC